GACAATTATTCTGAAGCATGTCCTCAAAATAAACAAGACAAGCTTAAAAGAAAGGAGAGAGGCTATGGAAATGATGTTTCAGAGAAAATATCTCAGTCAAACATGAATGCTGTTCGTTTAGAAATGATAATGCATAAATGTGGCAAATGTGAAAAAAGTCTAAAACATCCTTTTGATTTTAAAATTCCAAAAAGTAACAGTGGAAAGAAAAAAATCAAGGCCAGTAAGAAATTATTGTTTTATCTAAAATCTGACAGACCCTGTGGTAAAGGAAAATATAAATGTACAAAAAGTAATAGTAAAGAGTCATGGCTCTTTAAAAATCATATAACAAAATCAGGAGTCTATTTATGTTTGGAATGTGGTAAAGTTTTTAGCCAGAAATCACAGATTACTAATCACCAGAGAAAGCACATAAGAAAGAAGCCCTATCAGTACATTCGATGTGGGGAAACTTTGGCGCAAAAATCACTGCTCACTATTCACCAAAAGAGTCACTCAGTAGAAAAACCATATGGTTGCAATCAATGTCATAGGGTTTTCAGAAGTAAGTCAATGTACATTCAGCATCAGAAAATTCATACTGGAGAGAAGCCCAATGCCAGTAGTATGTGTGGAAAAGTCTTCAGCAAGAAGCCACAGCAAAAAGGACAGGAGGTAACTCATAAGATAAATAAACCTTATGTTTGTAGCGATTGTGGAAAAGCTTTCTCTCAGAAATTGAAACTTATCATTCATCAAAGAAGACATACAGGAGAAGAACCCTATAAATGTAGTGATTGTGGAAAAACTTTCTTTTGGAATTCACAACTTATTATTCATCAGAAGTCACATACAGGGAAGAAAACTTATGTATGTAGTGAATGTAAGAAAACCTTCAATGAGAACTCGCTTCTCATTAGGCATCAAAGGATTCACAGAGGAGAGAAACCATATGCATGCAGGAAATGTGATGAGGCCTTCACCAGAAAGGCACAACTTATTGAGCATAAGATGACCCATAAAAAAGAGAAGAAATACCAGTGTTGTGATTGTGAAGAAGCCTTTTTCAAGAAGTCAGAGCTAGTAAGACATCAAAAGAGTCACTTAGTAGAGAAACCTTATAGGTGTGATGAGTGTGGAAAAAGATTCTTTGGAAAGTCACAGCTCCTAACACATCAAAGAACTCACACTGGGGAGAAACCCTATAAATGCAATGAGTGTGGAAAGGCCTTCTCCCAGAAGTCAAGTGTGATATCACACCGGAGGACACATACAGGTGAGAAACCCTACAAGTGCACTGAATGTGAGAAAACCTTCAGTGAGAAGTCAAGCCTTATCCACCATCAGAGGACCCATACTGGAGAAAAGCCCTTTGAATGTAATGACTGTGGGAAAGCATTTGCGTGGAAGACACAACTCCTTCGACATCAGAGAATTCACACAGGAGAGAAACCCTATGAATGCAATGAATGTGGGAAAGCATTTGTTCAAAAAGTGCAGCTCATTAAGCATCAGAAAAATCATACAGGAGAGAAGACCTACAAATGCAGTGATTGTGGAAAAGCTTTCTTTGAGAAGACACAGCTTATGGTTCATCAGAGGATCCATACAGGAGAGAGACCCTATAACTGTGGTGAATGTGGTAAATCTTTCACTAGAAAATCACATCTTTTGAGGCATCAAACAATTCATACAAGAGACAAGTAAAGTAACATGGGTGCAGTCAGTGTGGTACTACATTTATCAGGAAGTGACAGCTTATCATACATCAAAGAAATCATATCTAATATAGAAGTCATCTAAGTGCAAGGAACTTTATCACATCTCCCCTAACACTTCTTGAGAATACATAGAAAAGACTCCTATCAAGACCATCAAGAAAAAATTTTAGGAGTTAGGAATCACAAGAAAGAATTCAGAAAAGAGACTATAGAGGTAGACAATATGAAAAGTAGTTTTCCCAGAAGGCACAACTTATTGCCCTTGAATAAGTTGTCAAGGTAACAATATTTTCAGTACTGCTAGAGATAGTACTAGAGCCTTCAGTCAGAAATCACAGGAGAAAAGCTACTATAGAAAGTGAGCCAAAGATCTCATCAGAAAGGACAACCCATTGACTACTAAAAAATCCTAACAAAAGGATAATCTGATAAATTCAAATTAACAATTTGAAGAGTATAATTAGTGTGACCCTAATCAACTGATTTTGTGAAGAAGTTGTGTTCATTGTACATAATCTGTTTTAAACAGCAAATATGTTTGTGAAGATACCTGCTTTCTGTTGTGGAGGAGTAATGGACCAGATGGACTCTCCTGTCTTCAACAGCTAGAAACTGTAAATATATGTGAAATATTTTTTACTTTAATGTTTTTACTTGCCATCTAGAAGTTGTATATATTTGTGGGGGTTCAGTATGGCATTTCAATACACATGTATAATATGTAATTATCAGATCTGGGGAATTGGTTTAATATGTATTTACTTCATAAATTTATCATTTCTCTGTTATGAATATTCAAAATCCTCTCTATTAGCCTTGTGTTGTCATTGACACAGGGTCTCACTATGTATCCTTTCTGGCCTAGAGCTCTCTATGAAGTCCAGACTGGCTTTGTACCACATAGCTATGCCTTCCTCTATTTTCTGAGTGATGGGATTAAAGGCATGTATCACCATGCCGGGCTTTCATTACCTATTTTTAAATACTTGGGCGGTGATGGCGCAAGCCTTTAGTCCCAGCGCTTGGGAGGCAGGCAGAGGCAGGTAGATCTCTATGAATTAGAGGCCAGCCTGGTCTACAAAGCTAGTTCCAGGACAGCCAGGGTTACACAGAGAAACCATCTGGAAAAACCAAAAAAAAAAAAAAAAAAAAAAAGCTGGCATTCAAAGAAGCAAAAAAGTGCTGGGCATAGTTAGTGGCACATGCCTTTATTTAGTCCCAACACTTGGAATACAGAGGCTGGAAGGCCTCTGAGTTCAAGGCCAGCTTGGTCTAAAAGTTTTAAATAACATATATATATATATATATATATATATGTGTGTGTGTGTGTGTGTGTGTGTGTATATGTATATATATACATATATATACATATATACATATAACTTGTTAAAGGTTCAAAACATTACTGGAATGATTTTTTTAACATCTGGTAGGATTAAGCAGTTTAAATATTGAAAATAAATCAGTAAAGTTCATAAGTAAAAACAACAATTATTTCGATGATATACAAAAAGGGAAAACAAAAAAAATGCATTTGAAGGCTGGTATATAAGCCAGTTGATGTAGCATTTACCTGGCATAAGTGAGACACTGGTTTAATTGCCTGTGCTGCAAAGTGAGAGAAAAGTGTTGGCAGCCAGAGAATCTCAGCTCAGCCCCTCGGGGACAAGAGGATAGTGACGTGTCTCAAAAAACTTACAAATTACTTAAGGAAGAGCTGAAAACGTTCCAAGTACGAGCCATTTTAAAACAACTAAAAAGAATGAGATAATACACAGGAAAAAAAAAAAAGAGTGGCAGCATGTTAGCTGGCCAGAGATACACAAGTTAGAAGATGAAGAGGCGATATCAATGAAAACTCATCAAAAGAAATCCTGGGGCTACAGGAAGTAATGCAGAGTTGAAATTTTGAATTAATAGGGCATAAAGAGGTCTGGGAATAGAGGCTCTGTGAGCAAATATAAACATATTTTAAGATTTTTAAAAAAATAAATTTAGTTTAGGACCAAAGCACTTGTAACATATTTTAAGCTTCTAGGCTCTTAGAAGTTCAATATAGCACTTAAATGATAATAGTTTAACTATGGCTGCATCATCTGAGTCAGTAACCTGTTCTTGAAGGCTGGTGAGCAGCGTGTGGAGCAGCTGAAGAACAGGAAATGTGTGTGGTGCTGGTTCTGTGCTGATTGTCGTTTACCTCTGTATAGTGACTCAGAATCTGTCTTCTAGAGGCAGGGTTCCCGGAACTTCTTCCTAGGTTTGAACCATGGGCACCATTAAGAAGTTAGATCTGGCCGGGTGTTGGTGGCGCACGCCTTTAATCCCAGCACTCGGGAGGCAAAGGAAAGCACATCTCTGTGAGTTCGAGGTCAGCCTGGTCTACAAGAGCTAGTTCCAGAACAGCTTCCAAAGCCACAGAGAAACCCTGTCTTGAAAAACAAAAAAACAAAAACAAAATAAAGAAACAAACAAAAAAAAACAAAACAGAAAAAAAAAGAAAAGAAGTGAGATCTGTCCATTCCTGTTTCCTCTGTTGCGTCTTGGTTTTGGTACTTTTGTGTAGCTAGCAGCTTCTCTTATGTGGCTGAAACTCTCTAGCTTACAGCTAGCAACATGCCTTCTGGCTTTTCAGATTTAATGGTGATAATTCCCCTGAGTGTTTGCTCATCGTTTATTGGTTTAATTTTGAACATGTGTCTGTAAATAAACCTTTTACTAAATGTTCTTTTTTTTTTAGAATTTATTTATTAATTATAGATACAGTATTTTGTTTGCATGCCAGAAGAGGGCACCAGATCTTATTATAGATGGTTGTGAACCACCATGTGGTTGCTGGGAACTGAACTCAGGACCTCTGGAGGAGCAACCAGTGCTCTTAATCTCTGAACTATCTCTTCAGCCCCAACTAAATGTTCTTTTAAATAAGGTTTTTAAAATACGTTTGAGTTTTGACTGCCTACATGTGTGTGTGTTTGTGTGTGTGTGTGTATGTATTTGTGCACCAACTGCATGCTGGTGCCTGTGGAGGGTAAAGAGGGCATCAGATCCCCTGGAATTGGAGTTGCAGATTGTTGTGTTGTGTCCACCATGTGGATGTTGGGAATCAAATGTGGACCCACCCCAAGAACTACAAGTGCTCTATATTGTCAAACCATCTCTTTGGTCTCTATTAAATGTTATTAAAGTTGATATTTTGGCTGTGTCATTTGTTTTCTTTTGTTAAATGAGCATTTGCTAGTCATGAGCATCAATTACTAATACATTTTTTCATAGAAAGAACATAGATTGACATTTGTGAAAAATCTCACCAAATACTTTATTTCCTCTTTGTTTTAATAATACAGTAGAAATAACAAATGTCAGAGTTTTATGATTTGGGCACACGTAAATGGCCCTGGAATCTATTTCCACGTGGAAGTTATACCTAAACCTCTGCAGTAAATGAAACCAAAAAGTTTATCAAGCCTTTGCTACTTCTGAGCCATCTAAGCAACCTACAAAAAAGGTTGGGATTCTAAAACTGCAGTGCTGTTGAGATAGCCTTGTTCCCTTTCAGCCATTCTTTATTGCATACAATTCTTGTGATCTCTACCTTGGCAATACTTTTTTTTTGGGGGGGGAGTTTCGAAGCAGGGTTTCTCTGTGGCTTTGGAGGCTGTCCTGGAACTAGCCCTTGAACTCACAAAGATCTGCCTCCCTCTGCCTCCTGAGTGCTAGGATTTAAGGTGTGTGCCACCACCACCCGACCCTACCTTGGCAATATTTTTAAGTCCTCAGACTTACAACATATAATGTTTGCATCTAGGTGAGTTCAAAGCCAAAAATAACCCAGCCAAAACATAAAAGAATGGGAAAAGATGTATTACCTGTGATCGGTGAGAAGCCTGCAGGAGGCATTGCCAAAGCTCCCCGTCAACAAAGGAAGTATGAGGATTCTATTGAAGGAACTTCCACAAATCTTTACATAGAGGTTGACACATTTCTAAGCATGTCCAGTTTCTGGTCATAAAGCACAGGTTTAAATAAAATTATGGATAGGAATACCTATGGATATCCTTCACATATGCCACAAACTTAGGTAAAAGATATTTTGAAGGTAAATATTACAGGAGCCGCCCCTGTAGGTGTATCTTTCACTTACTAACCATGAAGTCATCTGCAAAGAGTTAAGTAAACCATCTTTCTCAGTTCTCACACCATAATCATGCTAAAAAGAAAAGTAGCTTTTGTAAAACTAACCTAAAGTTGATTTCGACATGATGGCATGAAACAGTAAACTGACTTGAAACACTACCAAAAAGGCCCAGTGCAGGCAGAACCATGTTCTATCATTTCCTAAGTACCTGCCTTACACACATTGTCTTCATATGAGTGCCATGGTTCACTCCTATAATCCAAGAAGTTGGGAGGCTGAGTGAAGAGGATCGCCATACATTCAAAGCAGCCTGAAATATATGAGTTCCATGCTAACTTGGGCCTACACTCCGAGATCCTGCCTGTAGGCCTGTATGAACTGATTAAAGAATGTTACATCTCCTTGGTCTCCCATTTTCTCAATCTGGTTTAGGAACATCATTGAAAAGTGAAAGGAACTAATTTTCATTAGGCTGCACAGAAGTTTTTCCTTCCAGTCTAATCTGGATTCTTTTAGTTTGTTTTTGTTTGTTTGAGACAGGATTTCTTTGTGTAGCTCTGGCTGTCCTGGAACTCGCTCTGTAGACCAGACTGGTCTCGAACTCACAGAGATCCACCTGCCTCTGCCTCCTGAGTGCTGGGATTAAAGGCATGTACCACCAAGGCCCGGCTTGTCTTTCTACAATGTAGGAGGCAGTGTAACTTTGATGATTAGTTCAAAAGAATGAAATTGACGTAAGTCACACATAGATTATGCTTTGCATTCAAGTTTCAGCAGATACCATGTCTCAGATCAATTTAACCTTAGTGCTTTAACACCAAGCCTGGTCTACCAAGCGAGTTCCAGGACAGGCTCCAAAACAATACAGAGAAAGGCTCCAAAACAATACAGAGAAACCCTGTCTCGAAAAACAAAAACAAAAAAAAAAAAAAAAGGGGGCTCAGGGTTTTTTTGATTTTTTTTTTTTACGAGACAGGGTTTCTTTGTATTGTTTTGGATGCTGTCGGTCCAGCCTGGCCTCGAACTCACAGAGATCCACCTGCCTCTGCCTCCCGAGTGCTGGGATTAAAGGCATGTGCCACCAACGCCCGGCCAGGGTTTGGTTTTAAGTCAGGCTGCACACCTTTTACGTTTGACATATCTCACCATGCCAAACTGGCTTCTGCTAGCAATACTTTGTTAAATCCAAAAAGGAAAAAAAAAAAGTTTTAATTTTGAAGAAAAAAAAATTCCAGTTCTGATAGCAATAACATTAATCTTATTTAAAACAAAATGAGGGCTGATTTCTGTTGGTTTATCCAGCCTTCTCACACAGAACCAGGAGTGTAATTCTACACAGGCAGGAACTGATACTGATGGACGCCTGCATGCACACACCCTCACAGGAGCACAGGAGCATGAGTGCACAAATACACACTGTTGTGCCCAAATTCTGAACCCCAAAATCACCAAGAGACCCATTTTTATGCAAAAGAAAAGAGTCTTTTATTGTAGTTGTTTAACGAGCTAACCCCATTAGCTTAGGGCCTTTCATCCATTCACCGCAGTGGATAGCTGGAGAAAAGACCTTGAGAAACCCGAGGCAGGGACCTTAGAGGGCAGCGTAAGGGGAGTGTCCAGGGGTATGCAACAGTCTCAGATGCACTTCCAGGCTTGGACAACCTGCCCTGTGCTGATTGGTCAACTGGTTGTTATGGCCCATAGGCCCTCCCAGGGCAGTTGCCATGCTCTGCACATCACTGTTGTGCACCTGTCCATAAAACACACCCAGAGCCATTTGCACAGACCTGCCAGCTGACTTGTGATTGGTTCCTTGCCATCAGGGTATTTGACCTCCTAGTGTAGTAGGACAAGAGAGGCAAGGTCAGGCGAGCATGTTAGCCTGTCATGGCTGCTAAAACGCAGGGGTGGGGGGGGATACGGGACTGGTCCCTTTAACACACACACACACACACACACACACACACACAAAATTTTGAGCATGTCAAGTAGAAAAGGTTTTGCTGGTATTGATGAAAACCCCTGGAGTCTACAGTTAATCTAAGTTTAGAGGGTAGGATATTCTGATCTTGAGTCTATATTAAAGCAATCTATTGCCATGTTATGAAATAAGAGAACTTTGGATTGTATCATCATTTTTCACTTTAAAATTCTAGAAGCAATCATCAAATGATGTCAAAAAAGCATCATTTCTCATTTTCTGGGATACGGCAGAAAGGACCTCCACAGATTCAAATTTAGTTAAAAGCAGAACAATTCCAGTAACAGTAAAGAGGCAGCTCACAAACTTGCCAGCATCTGAGGTATCATTAATGAGATGCCGTCCATCTCTGGTAGCCCTGCCTACACTTCCTGCCTGACTACATCCTACCTGTCCATTGGCCGAAACCGCTTTATTCATCAACCAATAAGAGAAACATATATTCACTGCATACAGAAGGACATTCCCCATCTGTATGTATGTCTGCTCCACCATAGAAACTATAGAGTACTCAATCTGTTAGCACCAATGTCTAAGACAAAATTCTGGCTATGGCTCCTTTTTCCAAGTCATTGACTCCTGGTAGCAAGTTGATAACATTGCATTAGGAGGGCAGTAGTATTTTCTTACTAGAACGGCAATACGAATATTGATTTGCCTTCTCTGTATGAAATGCTTCTATCCAAACTATTACCTATAGACTCACTAATTCCACCATCATTGTAGTCTACACATTGTTGCTTCTGATCAAGGAATTCACACCAAATGGTGTGCACTCTAGTTCCAGAACATGGAATTCCTGGGTCTTGCTGTGCAGGGAACATCAATCTACCAGTTTTATTTCTATGATACAAGTATAGTATCATGCACCACATAGCAATTTGGTTAACGCTGGAACCAGTGGTGACTCGGCTCTGAAAGACTGCAATGCAGCTTTAAAATTCCTTTTGTCTAGCATTAGTACCCTTTCATTTCTATGTTTAGATACACAAATATCATTGTGTTACAAGTGCCTACAATGTTCAGTGCAGTAACATGCTATGCAGGTTTGTAGACTAGGAACAATAGACAGCATATGTCTTAGTTATGTAGTGGGATCTAACATCCAGGCTTTTGTAAATATGATAGTCAGCAATGAAATCATCAAGAGAAGCGTTTCTCTGAACACTCGAAAGGCTAGGAATGGCTAGAAATGTTGGATGCAAGTCTAATCACTGTGCTGACTCCATGTTCCTAGAGGCAGCCACTGCTACTTCAATACCCTTTCAAAGTTATTTGTAGAGACAGGCAAAGAAGCATTTCCACATATATTTACAAATATGTCTACGTATGTGTTTTCTTTCTTTTTCTTTTATCCGATTTTTATTACTTTTAAAAAGCTGTTCACCAGCAAAGACATTCCTCTGAGCGGCTAGAATACCGCTTGGACTTGCCTCTCTGTCTTCAATAACTTCCTTCTTCCTGGACATTGTTTTTTGCCAATGTTTCATTTTCAGCAAGGGCCACAAACATGCGTGTGCATCCTTCTTTGGCCTACAACACGGAAATCGCACGAGAGTCCAAGAAACAGGATTTAACGTGGAAAGATATCGCAAGTCTTCCTTTAGAAACCACTTACCCGATTCTATTCTAATTGACACCTTAGTTGTGCTCCTTGCGAAGGGCTGGTCCAAGTGTACCAAAACTCCCTATTTTATAATCTGTTGTGTGAAAAGAGCTCCTTATCTCGCTACAGGTTAACTGGCAAACCGTATCTGTATTACAGGCGAGGTTTCAAGGACTTTCCAATTTAGAAGTTACTCGGTCCTTTTTGCTTCAACATAACGTGACGCCCTCCACAGCTACTTCCGTGCTTTGGAGGAGAGTAAGTTGGCATGCCAGCATCAAAGATGGCAACCAGGTGCGCATCCTCTTGTGTGCGCAGGCTCGGGTCGCCCCGCCCCGCCCCTTCTGCATAGCTTTTCCTGGCACCGCTCTAGCCGTCGCTCTCTGTGGGCACCGCCACCAGCCAATCACGGGGCGTACCGCCCTAAGCCCTCCCCCCCCCCCCCTCGCCTCCCGTGGATCAGCTGAGGGACCCGAGATGTCTGTTGACAGCGGCGGTGGCTGTGTGGCCGGTTCCGGGATCCGCGCAGGGCGCGGGGTAAGCTGGATGGCGGGCGGGGTCCCGGCTGGGGAGGCGGCGGCCGGCGAGCTGGCGGCGGTGCTGAGTTTGTGAGGTGGGCCCTGAGCCAGCGTTTCCGGGTCTCTGTAGATGTGAGTCCTATGGAGCTACCCGGGAGAGACGAGCAGCAGCCACCGCAGGAGCCCTGGGGGGAGGCTCCTTCGTCTAGGCGCCGAGGAGGGCGAACCGCAAATCCTTCTGTGGAAACGCGAGTGGACCATCGGAAGGAGGAGAGGTGCGGAAGCCAGAATGGAGCGAGAACGAGGACAAGGGCTGAAGGGGTGGACAGGGATTAAAGCTAGGGACCCAATGGGTGGACCCAACCCAGGACCGAGTCTGAGGGCCTAGATCAGGATCGAAGACCTAGGCATCAAAGTGGGGAACCGACAGGGGACTTGAAGTGGGAAAAGTACAGGGTTGGCGGTACAGAGACTACCAGGATGGGGAGGAGGGTGCAGTGTGCTTTCCAGTCTTTTCCTATAAAATGGGCTTTTCAGTAAGACCTGCTACTTAGTTTCTTATTTGTCTGTGCAGTTGATCCTCTGGTGGTTTGATGGTGGATATCGTTCAGTTTTTCATTACAACTTTATAAAGATCTGTAAATATGCCCTTCAGAATATGATCTTGTGCTTATATTATTGTACACTTCTCTTTCCCAATGGAATGAAATTAGAAATCAATAACAAGAGGAAAAATGAAAGGTTATGCAAAAGTTAGACACCATTGTTAAGCAGTTGATGGATGAAAAAAAATCCACAGGAACTTTAGGGGGAAAAATGCTAGTCAGGTAGTGCTGGTGCACGCCTTTAGTCCCAGCACTTGTGAGACAGAGGCAGGTGGATTTCTGTGAGTTCAAGACTAACCTGGTCTACATAGCGAGTTCCAAGACAGCCAAGGCTACACAGAGAAACCCTGTCTCAAAAAACAAACAAAATTTGACAAATGAAATCAAAGAATATGTTGGAAGAGTAGGATGCTGCTAAACCAGTGCTCAGAGGGCAATTTATAACAGCAGAGTTTCTTTTCTTCTTTTTATTTTTTTTCTCAAGACAGGGTTTCCCTGTGTAGCTTTGGAGCCTGTCCTGGAACTAGCTCTTGTAGACTAGGCTGGAGATCTACTTGCCTCTGCCTCCCTAGTGCTGGGATTAAAGGCTTGTGCCATCACCACCTAGTAACAGCAGGGTTTCTGTTTGAGAAGATCTCCAAGTCCCAGGAACTAGAATACTTTGTTTAATGAAACTGAGAACTTAAACAAAATTATACACAAAGCCCAACATGTTTTGCTTTGGGCCAACAACATACCTTTCTGTAACTTTGTTATCTATCTTTTTTTTTTTCTAGGAGGATTGATGAAATCTTATATGAACTATCTGTAAGAGACCTATTTGGGCCTGGGGAGAGCTTAGGTGGTTAAGTGCTTGAGGACCTGAGTTCAGAGATCCCCAGCATCTTTGTAAAAAGCTAAGTGTGGTGGTACATGACTGTAATCCTAGTTCTGGGGAGGCAGAGACTGAAGGATCGCTAAAATTTGCTGGCCAGCTTATTTTTCAGAATTCTTGAGCTCTAGGTTCGATGAGAGACTCTGTCTCAAAAAATCTACAGTAAAAGAAGATGTCCGACATCTGCCTCTGCAAACATATGATCATATGTGCACACACCTGCATTAGAGAGCCTATTACTATAACATACATATCAAGATGTTTCATTGTATATTAAAACAAGAAACAAAAATCTGCTTGTCGTAGAAATACTTGCAGTGGGGGCTGGAGAGATGACTCAGAGGTTAAGAGCACTGGCTAGTCTTACAGAGGTCCTGAGTTCAATTCCCAGCAACCACATGGTGGCTCACAACCATCTATAATGAGATCTTATACCCTCTTCTGACCTGCATGCCAGAACACTGTACGAATAGTAAATAAGTAAATCTTTAAAAAAAAATATTTGCAGTGAATATTAATATCACTAACAATGTAAAGGTCATTGTACTAGTTTGTTAATGCTACTTGGTAAAAAGCTAGATCTAACACCCGAAAGTCCCTGATATCCATACTAAAAATTTTATGGGATTTTGAATGGAATTAAATGGAGTTGGCCTTGAATGCCAGAAGTCGTATCTTAATAACACAGGATCTTCTAACTCCTGCCATCTTCATCTCCTCAAGGCAGTGTTACTGGCATCCTACCCTCACCATGACTTCCTACAGCTTCCACTAGTGGTCAGGTATTTTCTCCTTTAGGGTCCTGGATAGAACATTTGGGCTAGAAGCACTTCTGTGAACCCAGCAACCTTATCTGAGCCAAACCTTGTCTATGTCTTCTACCTTTTTATGTCCTCATCTTCCTCTGTGGTGGCTAAGTTATGCCTGCACTTGGGCTGGGTTAATTGAGCTACTGGCAAGGAATGAAAAGGTACCTATGCAGAACCTCAGTGAACTGATCATGAACAATCTGGAGATGTAGATTGAAGCCCTAGAGGAAAGGCTGGTGTACCTGCAGAATCACAAAGCATCTGGTGGTTGCTCAGGCTTATATGGACATGTATTACACTCTGGGCATTGACTTATCCATGATCTAAAGGTTCAAGATTGTGGCAGAGAAGAACTGGAAGGATAAACAATGGATGTCCAGTCAAACTGACTGGCTGAACTCTGAGGTGGTTACGACATGGAGTAACTCCACTCTTAGATTACTGACTTGCAACATATCCTTCAGAATCTTGAAATACAGCTTCAGCTGTAGCTTGACATAAAAGATTTTCTAGAAGGCATGCTAACAAGAGACACATGTCCACTTTAGAGCCCAGTTGGTACAGATCTAGATAATGATCAGCTGCATTTGAGCCTATGTGGGTACCATGTATGCTGATATCCAGGAGTGCCAGAAGCTTAAGGACATCATGGTGGCTGGAGCAGAATTTTGCCATCTCTGCAGCCTGGTTAAGGGCCAGTATGTTATGCAAACACTCATCCCCCAGATCCTCTGAGTCATTAGATGTCTAGACTTCTCTCTCTCTCTCTCTCTCTCTCTCTCTCTCTCTCTCTCTCTCTCTCTCTCTCTCTCTCTCTCTCTCTCTCTCTCTCCTTCCTTTCTCCCTTTCTTTCTCTTTTCTTTTCTTTTTTATTTTGACAGGGTTTCTATGTAGCTTTGGAGCCTGTCTTGGAAATTGCTTTGTAAACCAGGCTAGCCCTGAACTCATAGAGATCCACCTGCCTCTGCTTCCCGAGTGCTGGGGTTAAAGGTGTGCGCCACCACCTCTAGGCTAGACTTCTTTTCTTACAGAGCATTTCACCTGGTACAAGATGAAGCAAAGGACACTGGCCCTGGATCTTTCCCTTTCTTTTTTTCTTTTTTCTTTTTTTTGTTTGTTTTTATGAGACAGGGTTTCTCTGTATTGTTTTGGAGGCTGTCAGTCCAGTCTGGCCTCGAACTCACAGAGATCCACCTGCCTCTGCCTCCGGAGTGCTGGGATTAAAGGCGTGCGCCACCACCGCCCGGCTCCCTTTCTTGACAGTAGAACTTGGTGGGCCAAGGAGGGGAGATATTAAGTCTTCTGATCTATCAGTCCATAGGTCAGTGATGAAGTCAAAGTACAGGCCAAAGCAGGGTAAGGTTGTGATTTCATGTGGGACATTGTCTCCCCTTACCCTTAATGGCCCCCTCCTTATTTCAAGACAGTCTTAACATATGTAGCTCAGGCTGACCTCCAGCATATGATCCGCTTACCCTAGCCAGTGAGATACCTCAGTATTGCTTAGATTGTTCTGTCTGTCTGTCTGTCTGTCTGTCTGTCTATCTATCTGCCTATTTATTTTTGGTTTTTCAAGATAGGGTTTCTCTGTGTAGCCCTGGCTGTCCTGGAACTCAGAGGTCCACCTGCCCCTGCCTCCTGAGTGCTGGGATTAAAGGTGTGTGCCACCACCACTCAGCAAGAAATAGTTTAAAATACTGAAAAGTTAATTAAGCCCTTTTGGGCTTAATTTTGTTTTGGTTTTACAATTCAGATACTATTTTTCTTCTGAGCTGTCTGTATGATAAACTGTCATAAGAAAGCTGTTTATGGAATATCTTCTAGATGACTGAGTTCAGGAAGGTATGGGACATACACCCTGTCCCTTTACTTTAGGATAATACTTCAGTATTTAAATGTTGTTTATTTCGTCAAAATTGGTCACAGACAGTAGTATTTACAGAGCCCACAGTAATGTCCAGTGTCTTCTTGACATCTGTTTCAGGTTGTGACCTCTCTTTTCCCAGCAATAAACTGGTCTCTGGAGATCACTGTAAACTTATAGTGGATAAAAAATCTGGTCAGGTGACACTGGAAGATACCAGGTGAGCACTTTATTTCCTGTTTCCTTTTCTAACTTAGGAAGCTAACATGCTGTTACAGTGTAACAGAGGCTTCCTTTTTATAAAACTTACTTATTTTTATTTTATGTGCATTCGTGTTTTGCCTGCATGTATGTCTCTGTGAGGGTGTTAGATCTTGGAGTTACAGACAGTTGTGAGCTGACATGTGGGGGCTGGGAATTGAACCCAGGTCCTCTAGAAGAGCAACCAGTGCTCTTAACTGCTGAGCCATCTCTCTAACCCAAGTCTTCCTTTTTCTAAAGTGCTGTTCAAGTTTAAGTCATAAGGATGTACATTCTCCAGTTTCCAGCATGGGATCCTGGGTGTGGTTTAGTTCCTATGGCTTATTTTCTAATTAAACCAAATATAGTTTATATGACTCAGAAATAAGATTTAAAATATATTTATAGGTTTTTCTTTTATTGAAAATAGATTTTTTTCATGCATGCAATATATTCTGATTATGATTTCCTCTCTCCTCCTCCCAGTTCCTCACCCTCCCCACCGCCCCCACCCCCCACCTCCCACCCTGCCATTAGAAAACACAAATATACCCGGGTGGTGGTGGTGCACGCAGGAGGCAGAAACTGGATCTCTGTGAGTTTGAGGACAGCCTAATCTACAGAGCGAGTTCTAGAACAGGCCCCAAAGCTAAATAGAGAAACCCTGTTTCCAAAAAACTCATGTAAATAATAATAATAAATATAATATAGTAAGACAAGACAAAAACAAATTGGAATAATACAAACAGAAGGAAGAGAGCCCAAGAAAAGGCACAAGAAACAGATATAGATACAGAGACACACTCATTGCACACTCAGGAATCCCATAAAAGCACAAACCTAGAAGTTATAATATATATGCAAAGGACATATAGAGTAAAAAGAAAGAAATGAAATTAGAAAAAGAGAAATGATAATAAAAGCCCTGACACAACAAAGAACCTTCAAAGATGCTATTAATTTTCTGTTGGCCATCTACTGCTGGGTCTTAGTGGGCTGGTTCCTTCAGGAAGCCCTGTCAAAGGCACTGCCTTCTGGGGCAGAGGTAGGCTGGAGAAGCAGGTAGTCCAGGCAGAGGCACAAGGACATGTGGGATGGGTGGAGGTGAGGAGTAGGAATTACAGCAGGGCATTTGGGCTTCCCCCTGACAGCAGGAGTTCATTTGTTGAGAAAGAATATGAAATGGACAATTGGAGGGTGCCTGATTGTAGAGGTCCAGTTGTGATTATGTAAAGATTGTGGTCTGCATACTGTTTTATCAGTTTTACTGGGACACAGGCATGCCTGTGTATTCATGTCCTGCTTTTGGCTACCGTCATGCTTCAGTGACAAAGCTAAGTAGTTGGAGTAAGACTTTGTGACCACAGAATTTGAACTAGTGCCATGTGCTTTATGGAAAAATGTTTGCCATTCCTTGACCTCAGAGAATTAAGGTTCAAGTCTGAAATACAAATTCCTTCCAGTGCTGGACTTCAGGAATTAAGCTGCAGAGCCAAGGACTAGTTCACTTGTTGAATTTTGCATTTAGTGTATTGTACTCTTTGGCCATCATGTACTCAATTCTGGATTTTCCAACAGGTCTCTACGAAGAGGTTTTTCCCAAGAGAATATTTCCTGTCCCCACACTCTAGGTCTGGGACATGTACTTTGGCCTCCCCATTTAGCAATGTGATTAATTATACTTGGGCCACTATGTCTTCTGAGTACAGGAGTCATGCCATCTTCCAGTTGAAAGCCCAGAATTTTGCTTTTGTCTTGAGTGCATCTTCTGGGAGGGATTAGTATTCTCTAAGGATGAACTGACTGGGGTCATGGCTGCTGGAGAGAACTGACAGAGCTATTGATAGCTCAGGGAAGAAGGAAGTGTCAGAACTGTGCTGCCTCAGAGTCTACTCAGGATCTGCCCCAAGATATACACCAAAGATCCTGCATTGAGATAATAGAATGGTAAAAAGCGTGCTGCTCTTGGAGATGATCCAGGTTCAAGTCTCAACACCCACATGGCCACTCAAAACTGTCTGTGATTCCAGTTCTAGGAGTTCCAGTGCCCTCTTCTGGTCTTCACAGGCACTGTGTGGGTGAATGCACATGCTCATATGCTTGTGTACATGGACTACGGGTGTGCATGCGTGTACACACACACACACACACACACACACACACACGAGTGTGCACACAGAGTTGCTCATTAGCCAGTTAGTAACAGACAATCTTTTTTTTTTTTTTGGTTTTTTTTTTTTTTTTTGGTTTTTCGAGACAGGGTTTCTCTGTGGCTTTGGAGGCTGTCCTGGAACTCACTTGGTAGTCCAGGCTGGTCTCGAACTCACAGAGATCCGCCTGCCTCTGCCTCCCGAGTGCTGGGATTAAAGGCGTGCGCCACCAACGCCCAGCAGTAACAGACAATCTTTTTGTCTTAGAGTATTATCAGGCAGTACTTGTGAACTTGCATATATGAAATGGTTAAATTTCTTTTTTTTTTTCTTTTTTGAGACAGAATTTCTTTGTGTAACGGTTCTGGCTGTCCTGGAACTTGCTTTGTAGACCAGGCTGGCATTGAACTCACAGAGATCTGCTTGCCTCTGTCTCACAAGTGCTGGGATTAAAGGTGTGTGCCACCACTACCTGGTGATTAAATAGTTTCTTGTCCTCTCTGAGTCCCCTCTTGTCCACTCAAAATGGTAATGCTAAGCAGATTTCTTTTTTCTTCCTTTTTTTTTTTTTTTTTTTTTTTTTTTTGGTTTTTTGAGACAGGGTTTCTCTGTGTAGCTTTGGTACCTGTCCTGAAACTTGCTCTGTATACCAAGCTGGCCTCAAACTTACAGAGATCCACATGCCTCTGCCTCCCTACTGCTGGAATTAAAGATGTGTACCACCACCACCCATCAGATATCTTAATGGTAATAGGAAAATGTTTACCATATTTAGTTATTTTGAGTAGGTAATTTACACTTTTGTTTTCTTTACAGCACCAATGGAACAGTAATCAACAAGCAGCGAGTTGTTAAGAAGCAGACTTACCCTTTACAGAGTGGGGATATCATCTATTTGGTATACAGGAAGAATGAGCCAGAACACAGTAAGACAGAAAAATTTACTTGTGTGGATACTTTTCCCAGGTGTTTCACCAAGAAGCCATCCAACTTAGGCTGGAAAACACCCTCAGAAAATACATATTTCCATAGAAAGTGTAGGCACTTGGGTGGAATGCTGACTCTTCAGGCACAGCTTGTCTTCAAGAATGACACCAGGAAGAACTGCATGTCTCATAATGGCAGCCAAGGAGGAGTAAATGGGCTGGGTTGGGCTGGGCTAGGCGAAACAATAGAATTGGAGGGTGGGAATAAAATCCAGATAGGAGCCCTGGGAGCCATTGGGAGCTCTGCTCTTGGAGACTTCACAAAAAAGTAACAGAAGGTTAGACTGGATCCAACCCTATGTAGGATAAGGAGAGTTGTAAGAATCTTTGAAAGTCACCCTGAAATAACTGAAGAGCACCATAGACTCATTCTTGGCAAGGAGGAAAAAGAGGGCACTAATATTCCTTAGGTCCTCTTTAAAGTAAAGCAAAACCAGCCTCTTGCCATATAGAAGGAACTCAAATCTTTTCCTTCTAGTGGCTTGCAGTTCTTAGTGAAGCAAATCTTTTTCACCCTTGTCTGCCTTCTGCAACCATTTTTCTCTTTGATTGCTTGCTTATATTTAGGTTGGTAAAAATGTGGTTTGCTTTTATTAGAATCACTTAAACTGCTGGATGTTGTTACCAGATGGTAAGTGAAGGTAATCAAAAGACAGGTTGTGATGTGATCAGAGATGAGCAGGAAAGATGCAGTCTCACTTTCCACTGTGGTCACAGCTCCCTGATTTGATTAATTTCCTTTTAGATGTGGCATACCTCTATGAATCTCTAAATGAGAAACAAAGCTTGCCTCGAGAATCCTTTGGTAAGTGAGCTATGGCAAAGGCCTGGATGTTGTAAAGTGACTTTCTGAGTTCTGAATGCACTCTTTATTTTTGTGCCTGTAGAAGCCAATAAAGAAAGTATGTTCCATGTGACCAAAGATTCCTCAGGTCCAGGGCAGGGTGATGACCTCCTGGTTCCACCATTGTCACCCGTGGCTCAAACATGCTTAGAGGAACCACAGCCATCAACATCGACATCAGACCTCTTCCCCATGGCCTCTACCTCTTCTATGGAGCCAGAGCTGACCTCTGCAGGGCAAAAGCATTCCTCTAGCTCTGGTGAGATGGGGCTCACAATGACAGTCGCAGTTTTTTGTTCCTTGAGATACAGTAAATCCATTCATCAGTAAGTGTTCTGTAGTCATGTATACTGACTTATTTCATTCTCAGGAGAAAGACTAGACGTTAAGGACCATGGTAATATAGTATTTTTGTAACTTTATATAAATGTAATTCATACTATATCACTAAGTTACAGTGTACCCATCAGTGTTTTAGGTACATTTACAAGGTTATATGGCCATCAGTGTTTGTTGTTTTTTGATTTTGTGGGGTTTTTTTGGTTTTTGGGTTTTTTTGTTTGTTTTTTGTTTTGTGAGACAAGGTTTCACCGTGTATAGCCCTAGATGTCCTGGAACTAGCTCTGTAGACCAGGCTGACCTAAAACTCATAGAGATTTATCTGCTGGGATTAAAGGCATATGCCACCAATGCCCATGGTCATCAGTGTTAATTACAGAACATTCTATCACATAAAAGGAAACTCTTGTATCTCTGTGCATTTATTTGCATGTTCTTAACATTTTGTGTTCGTAGTCATACAGTATGTGATCTTATGACTGGCTCTTTCATTCATATGTTTTCAAGGTTTACTCAGAACTGTGTGTTGCTTAGAATCAGTTTTACATGCCCTTATCCTTTTTTCTTTTTGTTTGATCCCCTGCAGCACAGATACATAAACACTCAAAAAAAACCTACTTCACCACCACATTTAAATTCTATTCCATCTATCCATGTGCATAGCATGTAGTTTGATAAGGCTTTACTAACATTCTGATATCAGAGTTCCTAGAATGGGTAATATATCATATCTTTTGTAATTTTTAAAAATGAAAATGTTCTATCTGTATGCTGAAATATTTTCATGCTGACAAAGTAATTATAGTTAAAACTTAATACTATGAGATGTGAGTACTTTTATATATTTAGTTTCCCCTTCTGGGGCCTTCCATAGAAGTGCCATTATATAATCTTTGTCCTTAAATAAAAAACATGGCTGAACATAAAAGACTCTGAAGATCAGAGAATGAGTAGGTTCCAGGTTCAGGAGATAGCCTGGGAAGTTAGATTCTAGTTTCTTATGTAGTATATGAGTTAATTTGTTCCTGAAATAATACCTCTACCCCTCTTTTTTTGCTTTATATGTGTAAACCAGTTTCTTCTTTTTCCAAATACTAGTGCTTATCATTTGAATAGTATAAAGTAGATATGTACTGTACTATAATATTATGAATAAGCTAGAGAATAATGAAAGGTTTCTTGACTTTTCAGCCAAGTTCATGGAAGTTGCATGTGATAGTTAAGCTTTTATTTAGGTCAGAAGTCTACCTGTTAGTTTCTGTTATTTCTTTTCTCACACTCCTGTCAGAGTGTATCTACTTCACACCTCTTTTGGGTGTGTTTAGTGTGTAATATGCACTTTGTGATTGCAAGAGTGTGCACTGTACATCTAGACCTAGTGTTTAGGGACACCCCCACTGTGTACTTCCCTGCATGTCTTTCCATGTGAATGTTCCACTTGCTTCTAACTTCATTAGCACAGAGATGGGCTCCAGTGTTTTAAGGTATGACTCATATGGCAGAGTATTTGTATACGATATGATGCATGTGAGATCTAAAATTACATAACACACTTTATTAAATCAGCGACTCTTTTGAAGTGGATAAATCAGAACCTGTCTTATTTGTGTCTTTTCACAGGACTTGGGAATGCAGGAATCTCCCCAAAAGAATGTAATTCACTTGTTGAAAATGGTGAACTCTCTAGCCTTTCTCCAGTTCTCCAAGACAAAGAAGCATCCTTTTCTTTGTTGGAAACCGAAGACCATGAGGAATTGGAGCCTGCCAAAAAAAAGACGAAAGGAGGTTAGACTTTCACTGTTCTGGGCATCCTTCCGCCTCTTGTGCTCTGTGCCATGCTGGCTGTTGCCTGCAGTGGGTTCCCACTTTTTGCAGAAGTATGTGGATCTGCTTCAGGTTTATATTGTAACAACTTGCATTTTCCATATGAAAGTCTGAATTCTTCCTGTTTGCATAATTCAAATAGAACTTTTCACCACTAGGTCATGCCATTGTTCTGAAAACTACATTTTCAATTAAAAATGGACGTCACACTCCTCTATCCTTGATAGGATAGTAATTCTTTTAAAAAATGTTATCTGAACTAGGATATGGTGACATACACCTGTAATCTGAGAACTTGGTAGGTAGAGGCAGGAGGGCTGGAGTTGGCTGTGGAAATAGTGTGATAGCTCTGGAAATAATGTCCTGGGGAAGAAACTGGATTATCCGAATATTTATGGTAAAATAAATGAATTGGCTGTGGAGGCCATGGTGATTATCACACTATTTTACATTTAAAGAAGTATAGGGCTGGTGACGCGGCTCAACAGTTAAAAACTTTTGTTGTGAGGCCTGATAACCGGAGTTCAATCTCTGGAACCTATATAAATGTCGAAGTAGACAACTGACTCCCCAGAGCTGTCCTCTGACCTCCACATGTTCTCCCCCCCCCTCAACAGTAATTTCTTTAAAAGAAAAAGTATTAAACTAGGCATGGTGACGCATGCCTTTAATCCCAGCACTTGGGAGGCAGAGGTAGGTAGATCTCCGAGCTTGAGGCTAGCCTGACCTACATAGTGAGTCCCAGGACAGCTAGAGCTACATAGTTGAGACCCTATCTTGGAAAAAAAATTATTGATATGAGATTTTTTGGGTGTCTGTGTGGTTTCTTTTTGAGGCAGGGTTTCCCTGTGTGACAGTCCTAGCTGTCCTGGAGCTCATTTTGTAGATCAGGCTGGCCTCTAAGTCACAGAGATCTGTCTGTGTCTGCCTCTCAATGTGCTATCATGCCCAGCCTATAAATTCAACTTGTAAACATAAAATAAAAATTGAGCTAGGTATGATGTTACACACCTATAATCCCAGTTCTGGAGAAGTGGAAACAGGTGAATCAGATCTTTAAGGTAATCCTCTCAGCTACATTGCATGAGAAAATCTCAAAAAACAATAATAGTAGTGTTAGTACTTTGTGTATGTATATATAAATGTATCAGGAGAAAGAACATTTTAAACCTGTGCCGCCTTCGAGTTTTATTTCCAGGACTTTCCTTTGTGCATTGGGTTGTATTTTGTTTAAACAAAAATACTATACAACTGGTCCTCCCTCTTTCTCTTTCTCCTTCTACCACTTGTTACCTTCCTGTCTTAGGCATAAGTGCATACATCCTGAGTGTCCTTTTTTTTTTCTTTAGGTCAACAACTGTTCTAAACCAGCATTTAGGCACAAAGGGATATGTGACTTCTTTGGGACCTTCTTAAAAATAGTCTTTATATATCCAAGCATGGTGGCACATACCTTGAATCCCAATTCTGTATTCTAGAGCAGTCTGGTTTATACAGTGAGTTCTTGAACAGTCAGTGCTACATACAGAGACCCTGTCTCAGAAAACAGCAGCAACAACAAAAGTCTTTATAAGTGGCTTTGTTTCCTCTGCTGTTGATAGACAATAGAAACCTGAGGATCTTCTGTGTCTTCAGATTAAGTGGTTGTGACTGTTGGGACTTGTCCTTTTGTCTTATAGATGGGGAGCTTGACTTGAACCTGCAGTTACTGGTTGCAGACCAGCATGGAAATGCCCAAACCTCACTTCAGGATGTCAGAGTTGCCTCTGTAAAGCCAGACAAGATGGAGGAGACACTAACCTGCATCATCTGTCAAGACCTTCTGCATGACTGTGTGAGGTGTGCTGCTTCATATCCTAGGGTTGCTTCAGTAGCACTGGCTCCTTTGGCAAGTGTGGGGAAATGAGTATAAATAAAACAGACTTTGCTCCTCTTTTGCTCTGGAATCTGCCCAAGTTTCCATTTTCCTTTTATTTGTAGTGTCAACAAGGAGAAATTCATGAACCTGGAGACCAGGGTCATAGAATCCTTGAGATATGGTCAGTCTTGGTTTTGACTGACACAGACGATGAGTAACCAGAAAACCTGGTCTTGGCCTTGTGGGAGGATCATGTCAAGTATACTGAGTTTTAAATACTTCCTGACTAAAGACATAATACTTTGAGTGAAGTTCCCAGGATTATCTTTGGGAGAAACTTCTCTTGGCTGTTTGGAAACTTGGGAGGCAGATCCTACCCAACCAAGTCCCCAGACACTTGGTGTCTCTGTTGCTTGTGTTCTTAGAGTTATGATCTGCTCTTTGTTCCCCCTGAAAACAGGCATATAGCTCTGTTTTTTTTTTTTTTAATCTTCTAACACTCAGCTTAAGTATTTTTAGATTAGATGATAGAATTCTCCACAATTGGTTTATGGTTGGGGATCCAGCTTGCATTCCTGTTTGGGTAGGTCTGCTGCAGATTTTGTCTGAGTGTCATAGTGGCAGATACTTTAGAAGATTTCGTCAAACAAAGATATGTTCTTTGTTCCTTCATATTCTGCCAGTTTGCAGCCTTGTATGCACACATTTTGTGCGGCTTGCTACTCTGGCTGGATGGAGCGTTCATCTCTGTGCCCTACGTGCCGATGTCCAGTGGAGCGGATCTGCAAAAACCACATCCTGAATAACCTCGTGGAAGCATACCTTACCCAGCACCCAGGTCAGCTTCACCGTCTTTTCCTTTTAGGGGCCTGGGACTGCGAGCTCTGCTCTGAGCAGTCTAGATCATTTTCCTTGTCCGGTTTCCCTTGCCAGTGAATTTTGCTTGCCGTTTTTATCTAGATAAGTGTCGCAGTGAAGAAGATGTGAGAAATATGGACGCAAGGAATAAAATCACTCAAGATATGCTGCAACCCAAAGTCAGGAGGTCTTTCTCTGATGAAGAGGGGAGTTCAGAGGACCTACTAGAGCTGTCAGATGTGGATAGTGAATCCTCGGACATCAGGTTAGACATGTGCTTGGCTCATAGTGGTCCCTGGGGATAAGGAGAACAGTAATACTGTGCGTAACTGTATTGTGGTGTGTACAGCTAAAGGACTTCAGGATATCAGTTTCCTTAATGTTTTTAGCTTGTTTCCTCAAATTGGAGTATGGCCAGACTGGGTGGACTCTGAGCAACAACGAATAGGTTAAGAGCTTCAGGTAGCTTGGATAGTCTTTTTTAATTTATTTATGTATTAATTTTGAGACAGGGCCTCTCTGTAGCCTTTGCTGTCTTGGAACTCACTATGTAGACCAGGCTGGCCTTGACCTAACAGTGATCCACCTGCCTTAGCCTCCTGAGTGCTAGGATTAAGGGCCTGTGCCTCCAAGCCCAGCTTTGTTGTCTCGCTATATAACCCTGGCCGCCCTGGACTTACTATGTAGACCAGGCAGTCCTTGAACTCACAGAGATATGCCTGCTTCTGCCTCCTGAGCAGTGGAATTAAAGGCATGCACCACCATTCCCAGCTTTCTTAGTGGGTTTTGAACCCCATCTCCTTGTCCTCATTTTCTTATGCTTCATATCATGAGTCCTGATTCACTGCCTACAGCAGAAAAGTCTTATGTATTGTTTTTCCTGAATAAGCATACCTAATTCTTTTTTTTTTTTTGAGACAGGGTTTCTCTGTGAAATAGTCCTGGCTGTCCTGGAACTCACTCTGTAGACCAGGCTGGCCTCAAACTCACAGATTCACTTGTCACTGCCTCCCTAGTGCTGGGATTAAGGGCATGTACCACCACTGCTTGGCTGGCACACCTAATTATTTTTTGTTGTTATTTTTCGAGACAGGGTTTCTCTGTGGCTTTGGAGGCTGTCCTGGAACTAGCTCTTGTAGACCAGGCTGGTCTCGAACTCACAGAGATCCGCCTGCCTCTGCCTCCAAGTGCTGGGATTGAAGATGTGCGCTAGAGACTGTGAGTCCTTGGCTATAATGGTAGTGTTATAATTTCTTAGAGTTGTATCACAGGAAAGGCATAATCCCCAGGCTGAAAGGACAGTTCTTTGAGACCCAATTTTACTTTCTGACACATTGGTTTCAGGTCTACATTTTGGGCCAAGACCATGATATAGGGGAAAAAAAAGTAAATAACCTCCCATGAATTACAGAGTGAGTTCAAAGCTAGCCTGAGAAACTTAAGATTCTTATCTCAAAATAAAAACATTTTAAAAGTTCTTGGAAGTTTAGCTCAGTGATGGAATGTTTGCCTAGCATGTGAGAATTGACCATGAGGTCAATCTATTACACTGTGAACAACCACAAAAAAGTCACACAAACAAAGCAAATTTGGATGTGACTGCTGACACCTGTAATTCCAACTCACTAGGACCTTTTTGCCTCGGTCTTAGCGGTACTAATCTAGCAGTAGTTTTCTCTTATGAGTGGGTTTTCTTTGCCTTTTCATGAGCCTATGAGCCCATGTCCCACTGAGTAGGGACTAAGTGGTCCAGGGTAGATTGTGCTGAAGCATGGTATGTGAGGGATTAAACTCAAAGTAAACTAAGCATGTGGATGCTAGCCTCTCTCTCAGATTCCTGTTCCAGGTGGTTATGGGTAATGCCCTCCCATTGGTGGGAGCGGAGCAGAAAGTGATATGAAGATGAGTAGAGGAAGAGCAGAGGCCTTGAAGAGTAGAAGCCAACAGCTGGAGCTGGGAGTAGATGATAATATAACAATCATGTCTGCCTGTTCCTTTGTGACTTCAGTTCTGCTTGTTCTTCTCACAGTCAGCCATATATTGTATGCAGACAGTGTCCTGAATACAGAAGACAAGCAATGCAGTCTCTTCCTTGCCCAGTCCCAGATAGTGAGCTGGGAACTACACAGGCCCTTGGTGGGGAAGCACCATCAACATCTGCCAGCTTGGCAACAAGTAAGACAGCGTCTCCTTCCATTGCGTTACTTCCTTGTGATTCTTGTCCTAGCTTCCTATGGTGTGAATCCCCTGTGATGTCACTCCTGCCCTCTAGTCCCCTGTTTCAGCAATCCTTTTGCCTCTAATACCCTCTTGTTTGGTGTACCCAGTATTGGTATGAAATTAGGGAAGCCAGGCATGGTGATGCATGCCTTTAAACCCCAGCACTTGGGAGGCAGAGGCCAGCCTGGTCTACAGAGTGAGTTCCAGGACAGGCTCCAAAGCAATACAGAGAAACCCTGTCTCAAAAAAAGAAAAATGTTTAGGTGAGCTGGACAGAGATAGGAGGATCTCTGTGAGCTTGTCTGGTCTGGGGGTAGGAGAGAGAGAGAGAGAGAGAGAGAGAGAGAGAGAGAGAGAGAGAGAGAGAGAGAGAGAGAGAGAGAGAGAGAGAGAGAGAGAGAGAGAGAGAGAGAATGAATTAGGTGAATATCTGTTTATTTGAGGGTCTCCTCTTTGGGGCACACCTCGTACTTAACAGTTTTGGTCTCTCTTTAGCCTACTGCTTCAGGCAGTTTGCTTAGTGGGGTATGCCAAAGCCAAAATAATCATTCTATATCTGTCACCCAAATTAGAAACTGACTTCTTTCTAGCAGCGTGTGCTAAATTCCCATAGTTTGTCTTGCTTCTCCATAGAGTTGCCCTCTAAACAATCTCCCATCAGTTGTGTATTTCCAAAAGATAGGTTCCTAGATGCATTGAGAAGAGCAAGAGAGGGGCTAAAATATAGCTCGGTGATGACGGGCATGCTTAGCTTTTGCAAGGCATTTGGTTCCACCCCAAAGACAATAAGGGAAAGAGAAAAAGAGAGCTGTGTACTTGCATGTGCCATGGAGTTCTTAGCTCTAAAGGTTGGGGCCTAGCAACTGGCACTGGCTATAGATAGCATAACAGTGTCCCTCTAGTGGGGCTGGCTCTGACTGTTCCTACTGCAGTGAGCACTGTGGTCATTGTCAAATTAAAATAGCTTTAGGAGCCTTTGCCCTTTAGCTGCTATTTAGCCTGAGTATGTTAGAAGGCCACTAACCTAGGGTTGTAATTAAGAGCCACATGGTTGGCTACCCTATTAGAACACTGCTCTAGTTCTCTGGGTGACTTCCAGAACCCATAGTTGGGACAGCAAAGCCGTGCCCAGCAACCAGAGATAGATACTTGATCACTACCCAGGATGGACTTTTTGGTCTTTTGAAATATAGTCTCAATTTTTAACTCAGGCTGGCCTAAAACTCAGTATATATCTCGGGCTAGCCTTGAACTTGTAATCTTTCTGCCTCAGCTTCCCAGTATCTAGCACTATAGGTACATACTCTCATGCCTGACTTGAACTCCCTTAGTCCAGTTACTTTTTAAAAACAATTTATTTATGTATATATGTATGTATATGGGTATTTTCGGTGCTGGGGATTAAGCCTAAGGCTTCTCAAATACTAGACAAGTACTCACTGAGCTATAGCCATTGACTTCCCATATTTCAAATGGAAGAATATCATTTGGCCACTTAGGAAGTAGTTTGAATTCTTCCCAGATCCGGTGTACTTCATAGTTCCCTCTCTAGATGTAAATTTCTTGTCTGCTGTCTTTCACCTTGTGTTTGGATACATTATGACCTAAATATGTGTGCCCTTCAGCAACCCAGGATTATATGTGCCCTCTTCAAGGAAGCCACGCCATATGCACCTGCTGCTTCCAGCCTATGCCTGACCGGAGAGCTGAGCGTGAGCAGGATTCCCGTGTTGCCCCTCAGCAGTGTGAGTATGTCATCTGTCCCCCTGAGGTTCCCATTAGGTTCCCATACATTCTTGTGTATCCTTCATGGCTTGAAACAGATATCTGCACATAACCTTTTGACCCCACATAAGCATATTGAACACTCTTGTTTTTCCCACCAATTAATAATCTAATAGATGAAATATCTTGTTTTTAATTTACATCTCACCATTAAAACAGGTCTTTGGATAGGGAGATAGCTAAGTGGTGGAATGCTTGCTTAGAGTGTATAACCTCCTGGTTTTCATTCTCTGTTCTGCAAAACATCAGAAAAACAAATGGAGCTCTTCAATTATTTAATGGCTATTTGAATATACTTTTGCTTAAAATGCTTGTTCATATCTGTTGTCTTTTTAAAATATTCCTTGATCATTGTTACTGCTGTTAAATGAAGAAAAGCATAAACTCATGTGGCCACATGAACAAGTCTCTGCAGTGCCTGAGCCACTCTTCTGGATATTGAGAGCACAGTGTACAAGCTCTCCACTGCAGTGATGTAGTGTGTTTTGTGTGCTCTGAGACTGCTCTGGAGTGGTCCTCCTAGCCTAGTCTTAGTGCAGTACAGAAGAGGAGACAGTAGTACAGTAGCGGTATGCATTCTGGGATAGGCAGCTAACAAGCTTCAGACATACCAGGGTGATTAGGCATGTTGAGAAGAATCCATGGAAGAGTCCTGAGAATACTGACATCTGAGAAATACAGATCAACAAGTGGGAGCCAAGGTCATGTTCTTAAAATTTTGCTAAGAGGGCAGTCTTTACTTTTGACTAATTTTATAGAGAAATGCTTCTTGTAGATACAGGCATTTACAAAGTGATTATACTGTTTTTGTTTTGTTTTGGTTTTGATTTTCTTTTTTTGTTTTTTTTTTTTTGTTTTTTTTTTTTTTTTTTTTTTTGAGACAGGGTTTCTCTGTGGCTTTGGAGGCTGTCCTGGAACTCGCTCTGTAGACCAGGCTGGCCTCTAACTCACAGAGATCCGCCTGCCTCTGCCTCCTGAGTGCTGGGATTAAAGGCGTGCGCCACCAACGCCCGGCGGTTTTGATTTTCAAGACAGAGTTTCTCTGTATTGCTTTGGAGCCTGTCCTAGAACTTGCTCCATAGACCAGACTGGCTTCGAACTCACAGATACCTGCCTGCCTCTGCCTCCTGAGTGCTGGAACTAAAGGCATGCACCACCAATGCCTGGCTAGTGATTATGCTCTTTAAAAAGATTTAATTATTAAATCCTGTAAGAATTTCAGCTAGGGTTTATTTAGCATGTTCTATGAAATTGTATTGTGGTGAATATTAAACATTAAAAAGCCTTTTTTACAAGGGCGTGCAAGATAACAATATAAAAACATTATTCATGCTAGTATTCAGGCATCTGTACCGGCCTGTCCTTGGAGTTCAGACAGGACACACCCTCAGCTGCAAGCCACTAAGAGCACCACCTGTGCATATTCACTGTGTTTCCTTTTAAAAGGGCCCTGCCCACCTCCCATCTTCACTCTTTCTCTCCCTCTCTCTGTTCTGTTCTCTCTCCCTCTCTCCCCCTCTTTCCTCTCCTCTCTCCTCCTGCTCCTGTTTCTGGAGGCCGATATCCCCCTCCCCTTTCCCCTTTTTATGATCCCTTTCCCAAATAAAAACCCCTCTGCATCTTTCTCTTGCGCGCTGCTTTTTTTTTTTTTAATTACAGCAATTCATGGTAGGTAGAAAAGCTATCTGCAGACATGAATGTGCAGTTACTTCAAGTGTGTCACATATTCAGAGCTGGGAAAAAAAATGAACCAGGGCTTTTGGCTGCTGGGATCATAGACCAAGCTGTTTTTAAGATCACTGTTTTAAAATTAACTTGGAGTTATCACAATTCTGTCACCTTTGATTTTAGATGTTATCTGGGATGTTGTCTCTGTTCCCGAGTCCCATGAGAACACCTCAGAAAGACTGTCTTCAAAGAGAGTTGAGCTCTTGAGTCTGGTGCTAAATTTCTTCAAGTATGAAAAGGCACAGTTGCAGGTCCCAATTGACCAACTGTCGTTTGTCCACAGGTGCAGTGTGCCTGCAGCCCTTCTGCCATTTGTATTGGGGCTGCACCCGGACTGGCTGCTTTGGCTGCTTGGCCCCATTCTGTGGTAATGTCAGCCTTTAGCCTAGTTGCTTTGACTTGTGTATGTTCTACTGGTGAACTTGGGGTAGGTGGTATTGAACAGTGATTTATTGTCATCAAAGAAAAAGAGGCTGCTATGGGCCATCAAGTGATTGATTGCCGGCCTTTTTCTGCTACACTGCAGAGTTTTGTGACTTTGGAAGTCTCAAACCCATGTTGCTTCAAAAGCAAGCAGTAATAAAATAAGAGAAATATCAGCTTCCTACACAGGAGAAATTATTTGTTCACATAAAACATTATTTATATAATCCCAGCCCTCCAGAGGCTTAGGCAGGAGGATCACAAATTCAAGAATAGCTGGGTATGGTGTTGCATTCTGGGATTAAAGGCATCACTAGCACTGCCCAGCTCTACTAAGAATCACAATAGCTTTGTTTGTGTTGGAGAGTATTTTCCCCTAGTGCCCATGACATATCTAGGACAGGTTCTTGGCCCCATTAACAGTGGATAGGTGTTCCATCTCATGGGGAAGGCCTTAAAGGTAATTTAAGAAGTGGTCGTTTGCTTCTATTACATTTGTGCTGTTATTGCACCAGTGGGTGTATCTCATAAACAGGTCACTGTTATAATACACAGCGTTCATAGTTGGTTGAGACTGAAGATTACTTTTTCCTCTGGTGGCATGTATAATGTCTTTTGAACACTTAGAATGCTAGTTAGTAGTGGTGACTCATCTAGTTGAGTACCAGCTTGATTTTTCCACGTTTGGTAACATAAATATGTTGTGACCTCAGCAATAGGGTCTTAACTCAGGTTGTGGGGGGGTAACCAATAGTACTGGCACTAGCCTGTGATGTCTGGGGGTGGCCTATGGGATTCCAGCCAGTGACTGAAAAAGATGCAACCCTGTGAGTTTGAGGCCAGCCTGGTGTACAAGAGCTAGTTCCAGGACAGCCTCCAAAGCCACAGAGAAACCCTGTCTCGGAAAAACGGGGGGGGGGATGCAGCCCATTCCTGGGACCGGGGGATTATTTGGTAGTGTATATAATGTATAGTTGGGGCATTGACTCCCCTATTATTTTCCATCTTCGTTATTTTGAGACAGGGTCTTTCAGTGAACCTAATGTTCACTAATCAACTAGACTGGTTGGGTTAGCAATCTCCAGGGATCCACTTGTCTCCTCCCTCCACCAATACTAGTATTATAGAATGCCCTGCTACACTTGGCTTTCTCTCTCTTTCCTTCTCTCTCTCTGTCTTTCTATCCTTCCTTCCTTGTCCCTCCCTCCCTCCTTCTCTCCCTTCCCCCCCTTTTTAAATAGTCATGCTGGGGATTGAAACTCAGGTCTGCATACTTATGTGGTAGGCATTTTACTGACTGAAGCATTTCCTAAGCTTGTTGCTTTTTACAGTGTATAATAGAGAGAGATTTGGTTATCCTGTCAGGCAAACAATACTTGGATACTATATCACCCTTATAAAACAGATAATATTCCTTCTTCCTCTGGCAGAGCTCAACCTGGGGGACAAGTGCTTGGATGGAGTGCTGAACAATAACAACTATGAGTCAGACATCCTGAAGGTATCATCTCCACACTTCCCCGGGGGATCCAGTGGAAACCATGAAGCTTTCCTATAATTTTTTGTGGTTTCTGTTAGGACACCCATTTTCTCTTTAGCATTTGCCTGCAGACATTTACTGCCACAATTGGCAGCACATACGGTGTTATCTGACCAGTACAATCAGTTAGTTCCCTGATTCCATGATATATATCAGTTTTCCCTGTAGTCTAAAATGAGGTGATTCCTGTTTGCTGATCATGCTATCAAACCATATGAACTGGTTAAAAACATCTTACAGAGAGGATATCTCAATTCTGGCTCTTTTCTCTGGCTCCTTTTTCTGAACATTTCCCTTCCCAAGTTTGAGGAAGCTAGCTCAGCTCTTAGAATGGTAACATGTTCGGGCTGGAGAGATGGCTCAGAGGTTAAGAATACTGACTGTTCTTCCAGAGGTCCTGAGTTCAACTCCCAGCGACCACATGGCAACTCACTACTGTTTATAACTCTAATTCTGGACACCTTTACACAGGCACACACATGCAAGCAAAACACCAACATACATAAAAAATAAGTGAATAAATATTTTAAAAAGAATTGTAATATGTTCAATTCTGCATGTTGAGAACTTTGCCCCGCTTTGAGTACATTCATTTACCTACACACATCACCAGACTTACTTAGCTGAGCACCACTATACTTTACTTTTAGGTCCAGGAAAACCCTTTGTAACAGCCTTGACCAGTGTCAAAATAAGAGAAAGCAAAGGCCTGGCATTCAGCTATTCTTGTCACTATTAGGGAGTAGGTGGGTGGGAGGAGGACAAGTGTAAAGGTAGAAATTCAACAATAGAGAGTAAAAGGGAAAATTCTCATTGTAGTGTGGTACTGAAACATCTGTCTTCTATTCAAGGAGATTTGGCTTCTACCAGCAGTATTCCATAGCTTACATAGGACAGGCAGTTCTAAGTGGTTATTGGTGATTGTCACTTCTGAAGGGCATATGTCTGTCTTTTCAGAAAAGGGAAGGGGGCTCCAGCAAGCACATTACAAAAGCAGAAGTCAGTAGTTCAGTGGTTTAGTTTTAACTATGTTTTCTTTTAATAGTGTTTAATACTTTCCTTTTTCCCCTTCAGTGTCTTATCTGTCCTTGTGCTCTGCATGCCTTTGTGGAGTTTTGAGAGAACAGTGATTCTTATTCAGGTCCAGAGATCAAAGAGCCACTCAGCAAAGAACTTTTGAGACCTGTGAGAGGCTTGACTCTAGTTATTCCACTGGGTCTGTGTAAACGCCACTCAAGGGTAGCTATGCTCTGGCTTCATCTACCTCAGAGGGCTTTTATGAAACGTTCTCTTATTTGTTTAGTGATTCTTCTAAATGGAATCTCTTTTTATACTTTTTCCCATCACAGAATTACCTGGCAACCAGGGGTATGACATGGAAAAATATGTTGGCAGAGAGTCTTCTGGCTCTACAGAGGGGTGTATTTCTACTGTCTGGTAAGCATTATTCAGTCAGCCCTTCCCTCCAGAATGGGCATTAATTTTTAAGAGTGTCTTTGTCTCTTGTAAAGTAGTGAGAATGGCGGTATTATCTGTCAGCTTTCCTACATTCATGACATTGACTTTCAACCTTCCTAGGAAGATAAAGGAAGGTCTAGACATTTTAAATTTTTGTTTTGTTTTGGTAGAATCTCACTATGTAGCCTAGGCTGGCCCTGAACTACTGATCCTCCTGTCGTTTTCACTAGTGCTGGGATGACAGATAAGAGCCACCACATCTGCCTAATCACTCGGCTTTTCTTGTTTTGTTTTTTTAAGAGACAAGTTTATCTGTTTAGCTTTGGCTGTCCTGGAACTCACTCTGTAGACCAAGCTGGCTTTGAACTCACAGAAGTCTGCCTGCCTCTGCCTCCCCAGTGCTGGGATTAAAGTTGGGCTCCACCACTGCCTGGCTCACTTTTGAGGTTTTAAAAGCTTTGTTTGAAACCTGTAGCATTTGTTCCAGCACCTTTTCTCCCTATTAGGGAAGGGTGGGAACATGGCTTAGGGAGTCTCTACTACTTTATCCCTTGATTTGTCGTTACTCAGCTGGGGGACAGATTAGAGTAGTCATGCTTTCTCCCAAGGGAGTACGTAGTGTGGAAAGCTAAAAAAAAATTGTAACAAAATTTTTCCTAAGACTTAAATGTTTATTAAGAAAAATGTGAGCAGTTTTCTTAAAATCCCTTTTATCTTTCTGGTGATCATGTTCTGGTGTGTCTTGCCTGTTGCAGCCCATCTAACTTCTATGAATATCTTTGATTTCATAATTTGTAATGATAGTAGCTCAGACAGAAAATATGAGTGACTTGCTGCTCTTCCAGAGGACACATAAATTTCTGCTGGCCTGCATGGGTATGCATCCTAGCACAACTATAAATAAAATAAATTCCTAAAAAAAAAAAAAAAAAAAAAAAAAGACTGAGCATTGTGGTCGTATGTATACACCTTTAATCCCAGCACTCAAGAGACAGAGGCAAGAAGATTTCTGTGAGTTTGAGACCAGCCTGGTCTACATACCCAGGGCTTTGTAGAGAGACCCTGTCTCAAAAGACCAAAAAAGGAAATACGAGTGCTTTAGGAAAGAACAAAGAACAAAGTAAAACTCACTTGAAATCCCACACCTAAACTACTGGCAGGAGCAGGCTGCTTACCTAGCATTTGTGATACCCTGGCTTTTGTTCACAGCATTGGAAAAGCATAAAAAAATATAGAATATTAAAAAATATGGGAATAGTTTTTTCATGCCCATACATCCAGGCCTTTTGAAGATGCCCCATTTGTGGGTTAAATTACAGATGGTGCCTTATTAAGTGTCCCGTTTGTACTTAGCATGTATCACACACTTCTGCCAAGAAAAGTCCAGGCATTGTATCTGAGGTAGCAGAAACTTGCCAGGGTTCTTGTGCATACTAAACATCTACTCTACCCTACACCCCCAAGCCCTGCCTTGGTTTATTATTATGTAGAGGGTTTGGGAAGGGGAGAAGCTTAGGAAGGATGAGTATGACCCCAGTTAGGCTTGGACTTGCTGGAATTAGGTGGTAATTCCTTTACCACTTAAATGCTGGCAGAAGCCAGCCTATACCACCATTTCCAGTTTTATATACTGCTGGGGATCAAGCCCAGGGCTTTGTGCATGCTAAGCAAGCATTCTACCACCTGAGCTATGTCACCAGCCCTACATACAGTTTAATATCACAGCTTTATTTAGCTACTTCATGAAAGGATATTTATTTCTTGTTTTCCACTACATTAATGCCACAGCTTTTGAGTATGCAATGCTGTACATTAGTAACTGGGATTTTATGACAGTAGTACATGAAGCTGAGACTTTGCCCCCATGAACACACCATCCTTTCTAAGTTGTGCAAATTTCCCCTCATGCCTGAGGCATCCCTTGCCTCTCAGCTCTGTATTTGCATTTAGTTTTGTGAGTATGAGAGAAGCTGACAGTGACTTATTTTAATGCCTTTGAGTGACTATTAACAAAACTGAAGGTCTTTTTTGCACTATACTTGCTTATCTGTGGTCCTTGACTTTACATATACTCTTTGGGTGGTCTCTGGTAGCACTGACATGCTATCTTTGTTAAAGTACACAGTATTGCCCTTTTGTGTTATAAATATGTTCTTACTGTAGCATTACTACTCCACAGTTTGTAGTTTTTATATTTCCATCTCAAATTTTAAATTGTAGGTAGTCAAAAGTATAAATCATTTTTGTGTGATTTTTATTTTCAACACATGTAGGTTTAGCATTCCAAGTTTGGAAATGCCTCCAACATTTGTAACTGTAAGAGTGCTGAAGACATGATACCACAAGAATAAAACCTATACCAGACCTGCTATTTTATGGGTCATTGTATGAAATCACCTTCAGGCAATGTGTGTGAGATGCGTAGGAAATGTAAATGATCGTATGTTTAGAATTGGGTCCCCCAGTTCTCATTACATATACACAAATCACCAGGCATTGTGGCACACACCTTTAATTTCAGTACTAGAGAAGCAGAGGCTGGTAGATTTATCTGAGTTTAATGTCAGCCTGGTCTACAAAGTGAGTTCCAGGTAAGTAAGGACTCACAGTGAGACCCTATCTCAAAAAACAGGTAAGGAGGCCTGAGAGATGGCCTAGCAGCTAAGAGCACTGGCTTTTCTTACAGAGGATCCAAGTTTGGTTCCCTGAACCCACATAATGGTTTACAACTAACTATTCCATGATTCCAATTCCATGGGATCCAGTGCCTTCTGACCTCAGCTGGTACCAGGCACACATGTGGTGTATATACGTACATGCAAGCAAAACACTGATACACACATTTTTAAAAAATCATTTGGGACATATACACAAATGTCCTCAAATCTGGAAATGAATCTATAATTCAGAATATCTCTGATCCCATGTGTTTTAGATAAGGAATAATTAACTACACTTAAATGTAGCACAAGAGAAAATATTCTTTCCAATCTTAATACTTTTGAGGGGATTTTAAAAAATATTCAAAATTTTTTAATCCACATGAGATTTTCTTACTATTAAAAACTAAAGTAGTGGGGCTAAAGAAATGGTGTGGTGATGATAAACATTTGTTGCTCTTGGAGAGGACAAGGTTCCCTGCACCCACATGGTGACTAAAAATCACCTGTAACTCCAGTTCTAGAGGATCCAATGCCCTCTTCTGGTCTTTTCAAGTACTGCACACACATGGTACACAGATATTCATGTAGGCAAACATTCATAAAATAAAAGAAATCTTTAAAAAAAAACAGCTAAATTCGCATTTAGATTGGTTTTGGAATTGCTTTCCAGATGTCTATCCCATTGTCTCTACCTAATTATGGTGTTAAGTTTCCTACTAGTTTGAAGTATGTCTGTTTCGATATTTAGAAAATGATATTGCCTGATAAATGGCTGTGTCCAGATGTGGCTGTCTTCCCTCAGATTACAGAATCAATGGAAACACTGTGTTGTGTTACTGCTGTGGTCTGCGTAGCTTCCGAGAGCTGACCTACCAGTATCGGCAGAACATTCCTGCTTCTGAGTTGCCAGGTAAGGAGTCTTTTCTGTATGTATTGGCTTCCTTACTCAATTCAAGCAGGTACTGAGCGTGGCTGTATACTCAATACTTAGCAGAAGTTGTAGCACATAGGCAGAAGACAAGCACAGGGGAGGGCTGAGGCAGCATTTGCTTTTCAGACTGTATCAAGATACATGGATTTCTAGAGCAAAGCAACATAAAGACATTACTAGAACAACTGTATTTCCTTGAGTAGTTTTCAGGTAAATTTGTTTTTCTTGTCAAAAAACCTTGTCATGGTCTATGAAACCTGATCATAAAGAGAAATAAGATGTAAGCTGTCACAGAAGTCTAGTAAAGAGCTTGCTGTGTTGGCATGAAGGCCTGACTTCGGACCTCATGTAAACACACACACACACACACCAACTAAATATGTGGATCTTGCAAAGGACCCAGGTTTGGTTTCCGGAATCCACATGAAAACTTACATCATTTACAACTCCAGTTCCAGAGGATTTGGTATCCTCTTCAAGCCTCTGTGGGTACGAAGCGCACACACAGTACTTAGGTACATGCAGGTAAATATCTTACACATAAAGTAAAATAAAATAAATAATCTTTTTTAAAAACCAAGAAAAAAAGCCAGGTGTAGCAGCTCATGTTTATAATTTAAGAGCTGGGGAGTCACACACAGGCAGGTCCCTGGTTTCGCCAGGTAGCTTAGCCTAATTGGCAAGCTCTATGCCATTGAAAGATCTTGTCTCAAAAAAAAAAAAAAAAAACAAGGTAGATGATGACACCTAATACATTGACTTCTGGCTTCTATACATACATGTATATCCACATACATGTACCTATATGAGCATACACGAACACACACAGAGTGACAAAGATGCTTTGTGCTCAGGGGGAGTTTCACTGTATCTTCAATTAAATTCATTTAGCTACATGAAAAGTGTGTGATGCATCTAATATAGACATGTACTTTCTTTTCCAGTGGCTGTAACATCCCGTCCTGATTGCTACTGGGGCCGTAACTGTCGCACTCAGGTGAAGGCTCACCATGCTATGTGAGTGAAGCTGGGGGACATCTGGATCAACTATAGGTCCTCCAGGCTTAGGACTTAGGAATGCAACAGTAATAGTGAATTGTATTCTAAAAGTTACACTAATTTCACGACTTAGGGTATCCTCCATAGTAGAGTACAAAGTTCTGAGTTCAGTTCCTAGCATCCCACTCCATCCCCCAAATATACATTTGTGTGTTAATTTAATCCCTATACTTCTATAAAATCATGCATTGTGTAAAACAGCATTTTTATATAGAAATTCTGCTCTTATGTTACTACATTTTTTGGGGGGGGGGATGGTTTCGAGGCAGGGTTTCTCTGTGGTTTTGGAGGCTATCCTGGAGGTGTGCGGCACCACTGACCAGCTAGAGGTGACATCTTACACTTTTGGTTGTGAGCCTAGCCTTTAGTGGCTGAGCTTATCCTCCAGCCCTAGAGGTGACTTCTTCATGGGTAGTTTTGTAGTATAAAACCTTGCATTGTGCTTGAGCATGAACAGCAGACACTATCTGTTTCAAGAAGGGAACTTTTAGGTTGTAGAGATGGCCCAACATTTAAGAGTGCATGCTGCTCTTGCAGAGGATCTGAGTTCAGTTCCCAGCACTCACACTGGGCAGTTAGTAACCACCTATTACTCTAGCTGCAGGGGTCAGATATCTGTGGCCTCCTCAGGAATCCATATGCAGGTCTGCATACCTCCACATAGACACATATACAGAACTAAAAGTAAAACAAATCTTTTTAAAAAAGAAAGAAGGAAGCTGGGCAGTAGTAGTGCACACCTTTAATCCCAACACTTGGGAGGCAGAGGTAGGTGGATCTCTGTGAATTCGAGTCCAGCCTAGTCTACAGAAGGAGTTCCAGGATAGCAAGGCTGTAAACCCTGTCTCAAAGAAAAAAAAATAAAAAGGAAGGAGGAAGGATGGACAGATGGACAGACATTTCACAGCTAACTCACTTTTGTTCATGGTAGAGTGGATATGAGTAGCCAAAGCACATGCCTCTTTCTCCATGCACATCTCTAATCTTACCCCTGGTTTGTGGGAAACAGCATCTGTTTCTACCCTGCTAGGTTAAGTGTAGGCTAAGACATACATACACTAATGAAGCACAGTTTTTAGTCTTTAATCTGATAAATTACCCACAGTGTTTTCATTTTCATTTTAAAATTTAAAAAGAGATAAGACTGGAGAGGTGGCTCAGCAGTTAAGAGCACTGCTCTTCTAGACAGCTTGAGTTTGGTTCCCAGCACCCTGTCAAATGGCACACAGCCATCTGTAATACCAGCTCCAGGGGATTGGATTCCCTCTTCTGGCCGCTCTGGCCACCTGTACACACACATGGCACATACTCAGACGGACACATACAAATACACATAAATCTAAAACTTTTAAAAACACAAGCTTTTAAAAAAGGCATAAAATTGAGTGAGCTCACATATATAAGGCACACATGTTTTTATGTGGTGATTACACTATGCAATTTCAGTCTTTGATGTTTTCTCTCCCTGCAGGAAATTCAATCACATCTGCGAACAGACAAGGTTCAAGAACTGAACGTTGGAGGATACACATAAAACAGCTACAGAGCATAGGAGGCAATGACACTGTGTTTTTAAAAATACCACATACAAACACTTTTAAGGGCATTTTTAGAGTTCTCCTTTTATAGTTCCAGCACTGGGGGTTTCTGGTCAGGCACTCTGGTATGTATAGCTTTTCCCTTTGTGGAGCTTTAACTTCAAACACACACACACACAAACTTAACTTCAGACACACACACACACACACACACACACACACCACGTGCCCCAGTAACCTATACATACACACCCACACCATTTGTCCCAGTAACCTGGGAGCCTACTGGCCACATGGCCAGGAGGATCAGTGCAGGAGGATCAACAGATTAAGATCTCTCTCCCACTGGACAGCTGACTCTTCCCTTGTGTGTGGTGAGGCAATGACAGTGCAGGTTTATACTTTTGTATCTTTTATACCTTGTACCTTGACTACAGTTAAAATGGAAACGGTTTTCATGGGGAAAAGGGTCAGGGATGTCAGAAGCATTCTATGTAAGGAAAGGAAGCGTAAGTTTACAGCCTCCAGGGATGTACAGGATATTCTTCCATCTGGAAAGCCACAGTTTTTTGTATATTTTTTATTTTAATAGGTTTGGTGCTTATCTTCTAATAAGATTAAAATATTAAAAAATGTAGCACAAATATTATAACTTATAATTTACAAATTGACTGAAATTGGGAATAGTCTGATATTTGAAAGAAGCATATGTTTCTGTATTTAAAAAAAATTAAATGCCCAAAACTGCTAATCCTGAGGAGGATGTCTTGAGTATCCAGGTTCTTGACACAAGGCTGGCCAATGCCTTGTATGCGGCAGGGTGCAGCCTCTGCCCTTAGCCCTCTAGTCCCTGAGAGCAGCCTCCTGCTGAAACTCCAGATGGCTCCAGACTGATAGGGCTTCTGCTTTCTAAGCTCTGTGCTGGTACATTAGGTTTGTCATGTCATCTGGAATAATACTTGAAATTTTGTTTTTTGGTTTTTTTTTTAAGCTTTTTTATCTTTTATTGAAATCGCCTGTTATGTTTGTTTGCAAACTGCTAACTTTTTGCTTCTCAGGAATACACTTTTCAACTGTTGTCTTGCTCTTGATACAGACTGAGAGGCAGCACTCTGTATTTGTGGGAGGTTTTCTTTTTTTTTTTTATTCTAATAAATGAGCTGTGTTTGTTTCTCTTCTTGTGTTGCGTTCTTATGTGAGGTACCACATGCTACATGCTAATACAGATAGATGCCAGTAATTCACTACATTAATTCTTCACTACTCATATTTACTTTATTGCCTGTTAGTCTTGCAGCTCCACCAGCAGATAGATAATGTCAAGAGGTAAGCAAACAGGACCTGGTTGAACTCAAAACCTGAGCACTTTGAACATGGCACAGGCTATTTTGTTAGTCCTGATCAAGGGGAATGTGTTGTCTGCACAGGTGAATCTCTGTGAGTTAGAGGCCAGCCTAGTCTACAGAGTGAGTTTCTGGACAGGCTCAAAAGCTACAAAGAAACCCTGTCTCAAAAATTCCAAACACACACACACACACACACACACACACACACACACACACACACACAGCTAAACCAGAAATGCAGTCCCATGTGGGTTTCTGCCAGTTGAGGGGACAGTCTACCCTGTGTTGGTCTGGCAGCCTAGGAGAGAATGATGAGACAGGGTGGCCTTACACAGCTATAGTGAGGCTCAGCCAACAGACCCAGAAACTGTCATCCCCAGAAGCCCAGAATTAGGAACTGAAACTTAGTAAAAAGAACACAAAATCCAGTGTGGTTCCAACTTCAAGTATGGTATGATGTAGGAACCCAGACACTGTCCCTAAGTTTGTTCTCTGGTTTTGCCTTCTCTTTTCCACCCCTCCAATTTTGGCACACACAATAGCTAATGGTCAGGCACTGTCAAGACTGTATGAAGTTGTATTGAAGGGACTAGACCCTCACTCAGTCCCTGCTTTAGCAGCCATGACAGGCTACAGAAAAGACCCGTGGGCCTCTGACACAAGGAAACTCCAGATGCTCTGGCTTTCCAGAGCCTAGGGCCAAAACTGAACACAAAGAAACTCCAGATGCCCTACCCCCAGCCTCCTAGATACTTGGTTCCTGGGAACTGTTTGGCCACAAAAGAAACTCCAGGGGAGACCAAAACCTCTCTTGTAGTCTCCAGGATATAGTTCTGAAAACTATTAGTGTCTACGCACAACAGGCCACCTGTAAGTGACAAGACAAAACCATAGAAACCACAGAAGGTTCCCTCTTAGCACTGACCAATGAAAATAATTGGTACACAAGTATTTCATGCCAAAATACAACTTTGAGGAAATTTTCCTAATTGTTCCAAATATCAACCAATCAGAAACCAACTGGTACCTACTGATGTAATCCTGTAACTTTTGTCTTTAAAACCTAGTGGTAGACAGGGAACTTCACTCCCTCTGGAGGCTGCTGAGTTAGCTAGCCAGACTGGATCCCTGTCATGGTGAACAATAAAACCTTGTTTTTCCAGCTTACCGGGTCTGTCTCCCTGGTGGTCTCTGAGGATCTTTGCAACTTGGGCACCTTGAGACAAGAGAACAGAGGCCCACAAAGTAGGAGAAGCCAGACTCACCAGACATAGTTAGCCACATAGTAAGCTCAGGTGATCTATAACAGAGCCGCTACCTCAAAGGTAGTACCATTAAACTTGTTTAAATGTCATAACATGAGAAATAAAACTCAGTGACAGATATTGGGGTTCAGGCTGAAGATCAGAGAATCAAAGCAGCCAGCCACTAGAGAGCTTTCACTTCTACCAATGTTCAGACTGAAGGGGTGATCCACTGAACCTCAGTTGCATCTCCTACACTGCTATGCCCTCCTCAATGTGGCTGAAGACTAATTCTCTAAGACTGACTTTGCTTCTTTTTATACCTCTCAAATCCTGGGATAAAAGGCATGTGATCCCAAGTGCTGAGGTCACCTTTGTGTGAGCTGTTTCTCTTTAGGACTGGATCACTTTTGTGTAGCGCAGTGTGGCCTTGAAATAACAGAGATCTGTCTGCCTGTCTGCTGAGTCCTGGGATTAAAGGTGTGTGCCACCACTGCCTGACTCTGTGGTTTGTGGCTAGCTTTGCTTTCTGTACCCTCAGACAAGTTTTAATAATATATTACCACATCATAACACAGAACTGTATAAATTAAAAACAAAGGTAATAAATACTTAGACTTAAACACTTCCTAGTCTACTGCATTCCATGCTCTCTAAGCTCCCTGGGATATGCACATCCTTATGTTTATGAGTGCATAGTGCATTACTTGTCTTCCTAACAGTTCAGATTTTCTTTGGCAGAAAACTCCAGAGTACATGCTATCACACCACCCACACATGCCATGAAAGACTGCCTTCATGGTCTTCAGCATGTCAGAAAACATGATCCTGTGACTTGGGTCAAAACCCAGGCATCATCCTCCATCTCTTTCCAGCAGAGCAACTGCATTCCACATGACAAGACTGAGCACTATTCCCACAGCCAGGGTTTGTGCCTGGGTCACTGCTTACCTGATTACTGTAGCCTTTACCATCTCTGAAACTACTGCTTTCCCACTGTTGCAGACCCTATGATAGCCTCGTAGACTATCCCTTCTCCATGCTGCTCATGTTTAACACTCTTCTAGATCTTCACGTGCTTTCTACCCACTCAGGCAACTTTAATCCTGGGATTACTTCCTCACGTGAACCTGGGATCACACTGGAGTTCTGAAACAACCCTTTCCCAGGTATGTTTTGTTTAGATACTGGCTCAGATTGATGAGAGGTCCTTAAAAAATATATTTAAATACTTGTATGGGGGGGAGAGCAGGAGAGGAACGCATGTGTGGTGAGTGTGCCATGGTGCATGTGTGGAGTTCAGAGGTCAGCTTGTAGAGTTGGTTCTCTACACCTTTATATGGGTTTTTAGGTTGCCAGCCTTGTGCTGCAAGTGCCTTTACCTGATAAGCCATTCACCAGCGCAGGGGGGGGTCCTTTCTAAACAAGTCATAAAACTGCAGAGGACCTGCCCACCTATTCACTCGTCTACGCCACCATCTCCTGAACTGTGTGTTTGCTGACCCTTTCCACCCTGGAGTGAGTTTCTTGACAGCAGGGATTTCAGACCATCTGGCAGAGTCCTTGGCACACAGCAGTCCTCAGTAGGTACAGAGGAAACAGTTTGCCCTAAGTGGCAGCTGCTCCCCCTCCAACTGCTGCTCATACCAAGTACTGATTTCTGAAGGTTTGGTCCTCCACCACCATGGACATACAAAGCTAGAACCCTGTCCGCCCTTTTATCAAGGCCCTCTACATGCAGAACAGTGTGGAGCTCAATGTTCATCGACTGATAAGTACAGAAACTAAAGGGAAACATCCAGTAAGTAGAATATTATTCAGCAATGAAAATGACCACTAAAACATGTACAACATGGATACATCTTGAAAAAGCACTCGGAGCTATATAGTATATGAATCTTTTGTCTTTTTTTTTTTTTTGAGACTGGTCTCAGCTACATAGTATGTGAATCCTATTTATATGCAATGTACGTGCAAGCACACTCAAACCGAAAGAAGGGGAAGAGAGCCACTCCCATGAAAGTGCTCTAAAACTGGATTATAGAAATGGGTTTACCGCTGCAAACTTACTGAAATAATGATCAAATTGTACACACGGGTAAAAGTCAATTATACTTTAATAACGCTATGGTAACTTTTATTTGGGGTTGGGAATGTAGCTTGGAGGTAGGGAAATTGCTTGAGACGTCCAAGGCCCAGGACACGGTCTCCAGCACGAAACAAAAAGTTTATACTTAGTATTTTTTCCATATTTCTGGGCCATCCGTTTAATATATAGCATCTGTACTGCTGCTTCTCCTCCCTCTGCCTTCCTATCTCCTGTCATGCTAGAGACTGAACCCAAGAGTTCTACTACTGAGCTACATTCCAGACCTTTTTAAGATAAAAACTTACTTTATAGTCCACTCAGGCCTTGAGCTTGTGACACTCTGCCTCAGACTTCCTTAGGCTAGGACTGCAGTCGCGTGGCAAAGGGTCCGACCGTGGACATCGCGGGCCCAACACAAACTAGGTACTCAGACGCTGGAATCTCCTGCACCACCGTGGAGGCGGTGTTGGGCGGGAAAGCCACGCCCTCGGGGACGTGACCACGTGGAGCATCCTATCCACCAGTCAGAAGGCTGCCAGGGGAGCGTGGCGAATCCTGGTTGCGACACTGCCGCCGGAACGCCGGAAGCTCAACTCTTTTTTTTTTAATTTTTTAATTTTTGGTCTGAGTTGGTCTCGTGGGCTGGAAGTTGTTTCTCTGAGGGGAGGGCCCACAAAAATTTAAAGTCACTTTCTCAAATCCGCCTCAGTTCTGTCCGGAGCGAGATCCGTACCGACCCCAGTTTGAAGGTGGCTACTGGCCGCTGACAGTCTCTCTTCCGGAACGAAAGCGGCGCGGACAGGCTGTTTCCGGAGGGGTTGCCCGAGACTGGTGCCCTATTGCGCCCCGCCCCTCGCACGGCCACGTCCTACCGGAGCCGCAGGGCTGGGCCGCTGATGGTGAGGGCTGTGGGGCTTGTGCTGAGGAGGGTCGGGGCCTGGGGGTAGTGGGCGCGGGTGGGACTGGCCGGGCCGCGCCGCGCCCAGAGAGGCAGGCGCCGGCAAGGCCGAGGCAGAGTCCGGGGAGGGTCGCGCGGACTTGGGGTCAGCGGCGGCCAGCTCTGGTCAGCTCTTCCTTCTGCTGCCTCAGGGTGGAAACCTGCCTTGCAGCTCGTGTCAGTAGCGGCTTGGTCAATGCAGGGGCTCCCCCTGCACCTCAGGGGATGCGGTCGGCCCGGAGAGCGTGTGTCACCGCTGCATGGCTCAGCTTGTGTGAAGTCCGCTGCTTTCGCAGTTGACGGCGAGTGTGACATGGTGGCATGTCGTTCAGTCAGCGGGGGGACTTACTGTTTCGGTTCTGGTGCTCAGAGGTGTTTCACGGTGCTGCTGAACGTGGACAGTAGAGTCAGTGGCTAGAGAGAGCTCAGTGAGCAGCTCACCCCTTTCCACAGGCGCTTTCTGAATGTCTGTGGAAGGAGAGGCCCTGTCTGTTAACAGGTCTCAGGATACAGTTGTGTTGTCGTCTCTGTTCTCACCACTTTATGTTGAAAAGTATACTGACAGCTCAAAACAGTTGTTGAGAGGATTAGCTTCGTCAGGCCTGCGCAAGAGGTGACTTCTGCCTCAAGGCATGCCTCCATGACAAGAAGCTTCTGTGCAGAATTGTTGAGAGTAATGTCTCAGAAGAGTGAACAAGGAGTGTGGAGACCCAGCTGGGCATGGTGGCGCACACCTTTAGTCCCAGCACTCAGGAGGCAGACGCAGGCGGATCTCTGTGAGATCGAGGCCAGCCTGGTCTACAAAGCGAATTCCAGGACAGCCAGGGTTCTGCTACCCAGAGAAACCCTGTCAAATAAGCAAACAAAAAGGTGTAGAGACCCTATGGAGAGTCAGTTGTACTTCTGGGTGCATAATATAGCCAGGTAATGAAAAAAGGCACAGCATGTGCAGAGTACAGACATAAGCAGGAGCCACATAAAAGTGATCTCTAGTTTAGGCTAAGAGGTTTGTATTTTATTGTCAGTGGGACATTGTAAACCATTTACAGATGCATCGTGGCCTTTGCTTTTATAATCCTTTAGTAGCTCTCAGCTACAATGTACCTTGAATGAAAAAGAAAGGAAAAAGCTGGATGTAGTCTCACATGTCTGAAATGCCAGCTCTTGGGAAGCCAAGACAGGAAGACCTCCACTACCTTGATGCCCAAGCTACATGCTAAGCTTCTGTTTCAAAACCCAAAAGCAGATCAGCAAGATGGCTCAGTGGTTAAAGGTTCTAGAATCTGAGGCCATGAGTTCTATGGAAGCCCCATGGTGGAAGGAAAGAACCCACTCTCATAAGTTGTCCTCTCACCTTCATACACCTGTGCCTATGAACAATTAACACAGACACCATTGGGGGGTGGGGAATGATCCTATCTCCTCCCTACTTCCCAAAAGAGAAGCATAAGAAATGAAAGTCATCTGATGATGCTCAGACTTAAAAGTAGCTGGGTTTGTGCCAATTGCTTTAAGTAGTGTTATTTTTCTCAAGTGAGAGTATAACTTCAATTTGGCTTTTACTATCAATTTTGAAAACTGTTGAAAGAAGAAATAATTGCACCTGTTTATTCAAGGCATGAACAGATCCTATATCTTACAGATCCTATATACATATATATATATATATATATATATATATATATATATATAGTCCATCCTATCAAAACTTTGTATTCATTTTCTCAGTGTTTTTGTTGATGAGGAAATAAGCTTAAGTGTGGCTCAGAAATCTATCTAACAAGATCTTGCAGCCAAATGGAAGAACAGTCAGGATTTGAGGCAAACATGTTTAACTCAAAACCTGTAATTTATGTCCTTGCTGTACCTGAGGCTGGCCTTTGGTTTTTACTTATATAGAGTGTTACTTGTTACTATTCGATAGTGTGTAATCAAGCAGACATCTTCAAGAAGTCCTCTTTTATCTTTGGCTGTGTGTCTTGTCTAATTGGTGATAACCTCAGTAATAGGGCAGCTGTTGTTTGTGGGTCAAGTTCATGGTCTCTGCTGGGGAAAACTTGAAGACCTGTTGCACCTGAGATTGTATTCTCAATGTGGAATCTAGATGAACTGCTAATATTAGGTATTTCTTGGGACTCCCTTTGTTCTGCCATCTAGAAGTGGGGGTGCAAGTGGTTAAAAATGAAACTATAAACTCAGTGAAGCTATACAGGACTGTAATCCTAGCACTCAAAAGGTGGAATTGGGAGAATCTACATGAGCTGGAGACTACACTGGCCTGTATACTGAGCCTTTGTCTTAAAAAAAAAATCCCAGCCGGGCGTTGGTGGCTCACGCCTTTAATCCCAGCACTTGGGAGGCAGAGGCAGGCGGATCTCTGTGAGTTCGAGACCAGCCTGGTCTACAAGAGCTAGTTCCAGGACAGCCTCTAAAGCCACAGAGAAACCCTGTCTCGAAAAAAAAAAATCCCAAACCAAAACCAAACAAATCAAACTAGCTAAGATAGCTTAGTCAGTGAAGTGCTTGCTATACAAGCATGAGGACTTGACTTTGGTGTTTTGCCAAAGCCGGTGTAGGAAAGTCTGGTATGGTCATCTACACTTATAGCTCCAACACTGGGGAAATGGAAACAGGGACTCACTGGCCAGCCAGTATTGATGAACTCAAGGTCAGTGAGAGATACCGTCTCAAAAAACAAGATGAATGGCATCTGAAAATGTGCACATACATACCCACAGAAAGAGCCAAGTTGACCAAACAAATGAAAAAAAGGACAACTGTAATGAGAATGGACTCTGCTTGTTTTTTTAAATCACAAATGTAGTGTGTAGTACTAAAAACAGCTTTTTTGTACCTCTCCTTACCCCCACCCCAGCTGACTCATCTTCTTCCTTGGTGCTGGGAGACTTGCCCTTGTCAGCAGTCTGGGGTAATGAGACCCTGTATGACTGAGTCATGCTTACCAAAATTCAGAGGAGACTGATGGTAGACAGTAAATGTTAGTTTATTGCCCATCAGGCAGGACTGCTGTCAGAAACCCAACTCCTGGCATGGCCCAGACATTTTGGCTGTAGAACCACTTATGGAGGAGCTAACTGATTTTGAACAGGAACCATTTAAGTGAGTTAACCAGAGTCAGTTGTAGTTGGGTTCCTCTGTTCTGGAGGGCTGTACCATTCCATCTCTGAAAGGAGGAAGGACTGCTTAGGAATCAGGTGTCTTACTTAGCACAAAATCAGAGTAAAGGGAATAAAGAGGGGAATATGTGATGATCTCTAGCTTGTGACAGCCTGTTACATGTGCCATCAAATTTACATCATTGGTGGAACTTGAATATTCTTGGCTAATGTCTGTCTTTATGAACAGTCTCACTGTTTACCTCTGAGCATATTATCTCTGGAATTTCTTAGCTGTCCTCGTTTTTTTTTTATTTTTCCTATTCTAGACCTGTACTAGTCATTTGCTGTGTTGATAAGCTGAGCTGACCATATCAGTGGTGGGTTCCCTCATTCACAGGTGGTCATCAGTCACAGAGGACAGATGGAGTCAAAGAACATGGTCTGCAGTGATAGCACCACTATCAAGTCAGCATCACACCTTGTTAGTGAGGTTTCTTACCTGTAATTTATCTATGTGAATTTTGATTTTGTTTTTTGTTTGTTTGGGTTTTTGTTGTTGTTTTGTTTTGTTTTTGAGGCAGGGTCTCAACTTTGTAGCCCAGGCTTGCTTGAAACTCACTGTATAGACTAGATTGACTTCAAACTCTGAGATCTACCTGACTACCTCCTGAGTGCAACGATGTATGCCACTACACTTGGCTCAAGTGTGATTTGTAAACTCTGGATATAGGTTATTTTGCTATGAACCATGTTAAGCGTAGCACAAAAAGAATAATAGAGAACTTATTCTGAAGAACATAGATACCAGTATTCGTACGTGTGCCTGGAAGCTCATATTTAAATCTTACCTTTTGATAAGGAAATGAGTTAGTAGTATCATCAGCACACTTTGGAGCTGATAAATATTTGCCAGATTCAAGGTGAAGTTATATTTTCCTAAACATAGTCTACCATAGTGAGTCAGAAAATTACTGATCCTCCTAGTAGGGAAGGGTAGATGGTCACCTGCCATAAGATCCCTCTCTGCCCACTTCTAAGTTAGCTACCGTTCTGTGTGTTCTTAGATCTCCCTTCTGGATCTCCCCGTCTAGCATTCTATTACCTAATCCTTTGGCAATTGCTTCTTTAATTTTCACTCCTCTCGATCTGAGCTGCATAGATCACAAGGGTGGAATTTCCTAGTAGGAGCTCTGGCCTTGGGCATGGTCATTCCAAGTGTTTTATGAGTAGGTAGGTCTGTCTAGTTTACAAGCTGCTGGCCACAAATAGCTATTTAAATCAGATTAAATGTAAATAAAATTTAAAGTTCAATTTCTTAGCACACGTTCAACTACAACAGATTACAAGCTCTTTAAAACCCTTGTGGTAGAACTTCCTGTAACTGATACCAGGAGAGACACTCAGTTCCTTAGCAAAGGGCTAAGGTGTGGCTAGTTTGATATTTTACCCTCAAAACCTAGGATGTTACATGGTGGCTCACAACCATCTA